CTGTCATGTCAAACAGCATGGGAATGTGTGGAGTCATAGTTCTTCAGTTCCTTCATTATTCACCTTCAAAAGACACATCTTTCCTCTTGACTTCATTAAAAAACATAATCTCAAAAGCAATTTGAGGCATCCTGATGGAAGCATTTTGGTTCAAAAATGTCTTTGCAGCATTCAGATAGCCATCCAGGTAGCCAGTTCCAGACAAGGACAGATAACATTTCCCATTTAAACAAAACTCTTAAAGCAGCTAATCATTATATGCATAATGTGAACCACATTAAAGGAACATTTTTGTCCTTGAGTGGGATTGTCTTATAGGGAAAATTGACTTTTTTGGACACTTACTGTTACTATAAAGGCAAAAGGGAGCAAAAAATATGAGTGAACATATCATGGTGTGCCCCTTTATATGATGCTACAGAATGGAATTTTTTTATTGTTTTTTCTTCTTTCCTTCTTAGGGCTTGTTAAAATTACTTGAAGGCACAATAGTAAATGTTCCAGAAAAGAATTCTCGGAAACTACGTGGAGAAACGGTGCAGGTTGACACAACAAACATTCTGTTTGTAGCTTCTGGTGCTTTTAATGGTCTTGACAGAATTATCAGCAGGAGGAAAAATGAAAAAGTGAGTGCATCAGGCTGTATCCAGGCTGAAAAATTATCATCTTCATCACTGTTCGCAATACTGACTTCTACAGGTCTTGCTGTATTTGTAAACACACTACATTTCTTTATTTCAGCAAGTGGTGCTAAAAACCATAATTATCTTAAAATACCTGGCCCTGCAGTTCACTGTTTTGTAGATTAATGTCTGGGGACAGGGTTCTGGCTGCAGCATTCTGACAAAATGTGCTCTCTGTCTCTAACACTAAATGAGTGACTGAAATTCAAGTTTTTGTTCACGTTAATTTGGTAGCTTCCCGTGTAAGCAAACTTGCCTGCATTTGCTTCACTTATGAAGTGTCACTGGTACTTGTAAAATGACCAGAACATGTTGATAACCTTCTTTCTTTTAAGAAAAAATTGCTCTTGTACTGATGTATTAATTCTTCACTGAGGAGACTCAATCTTTTAAGAAACTGATTGTATGCAAGGGGTCTAATTTTACTCTAAGTAGTTTCTTGAGTTTCTTATGTCATTACAAATTAGTATGTAATGACATAATCAGGCACTGCAGATTTTTTAATACTCATGGAAAGTGATGAAGAAAACTCAGTTATTACAGTTCTCTAAGCAGAAGGTGTTTGTTTTTGCAGTACCTAGGATTTGGGACACCATCTAACATGGGGAAAGGCAGAAGGGCTGCAGCAGCAGCTGATCTTGCCAACATCAGTGGAGAGTCTGACCCACAGGAGGATATTGAGGAGAAGGATCGCTTGCTGCGCCACGTGGAAGCCAGGGATCTCATCGAGTTTGGCATGATCCCTGAGTTTGTGGGACGTTTGCCTGTCGTGGTTCCTCTGCACAGCCTGGATGAGAAAACCCTCGTCCGGATTCTGACGGAGCCACGGAACGCTGTGGTGCCTCAGTACCAGGCACTGTTCAGCATGGATAAGGTTTGAGTTTTCATTTGATGGCTCTTCGGGGTTCATTTTTATAAATACAGGGTTTTCAGTAATGCTTGTACTCACCACATTGAGTTATAAATGAAATGATGAAGTGAACTTGCCATTTTTCTCTGTGTAGTGTGAATTAAATGTAACTGAAGATGCATTGAAGGCTATAGCCAGACTGGCTCTGGACAGAAAAACTGGTGCCAGAGGTCTTCGATCTATAATGGTGAGTAAATTAAGTCTTATAAACAGCAAATGAAACTTCCTGGATTTGTGTGTATGGACCTAATCTTGACCATTTCCAGTGAAAGCCACACTTAGTTCTGGCCCTCACATGGATACAGTAAGTCATTCTAAAGCTGTGAGTATTCAGAGTTCTTCCAAGAGGACTCTCTGAAAATCAGTTGTTTATGTAGAAGAGGGCACACAGAAATATTTTACTCTCTATTTTCTTGTAGGAAAAGCTGCTGCTGGAGCCCATGTTTGAAGTGCCCAATTCTGACATCGTGTGTGTGGAAGTTGACAAAGATGTTGTAGAAGGCAAAAAAGAGCCAGGATACATTAGGTAAAACGGTAACAGAAGTAGCAGAACAGACCAGTAATACAACTAGACAGGTATTCTGATGGAATAAGCACAAGTCATGCACACAACCTAAAAAAGATTCAATGCTCTCTATGTTGTACACAGCTGAATTAGTGCCTGTTCTGTCCTAGAGACTTTGGATTTGTATTGCTTTAGCTTTCAAACAGAAATTTTAAAATAAACATATGTGAACTTACTTTTGTGTGTGTATACCTGTAGAAATGGAAATAAATTTTAAGGTAACAGTAAAACTTTGAAATTCAGTTGTGACTGTACTGAAATTTCTGAAATTAAACTGTTTCTTTCTTCCTACATTTACCACAGATATAGGGGTTTTTATACAAGCTCCAGGCTGCAACAATTTTCTACATTACTCTTGCAGCAGTGGAGAGCCACAAAGGCACAGCTATTGATTTGCTGAACTTCTGTTGAAATAATCAATTTGATGTTGTAAAGAGTATGGCAATGATGTGGAATGTTGAAAACACTGGACAAATCTACATTAAAAAAAATAAATCAGCAATTTCCATGAATGAAGGATGGAATTAAGAGAGAATGGGTCAGGTTAAAAAATTAATTTCTGAATTTTAGGTCTGAAATTTAGGAGCTGTGTCTTGGTTTCTGTCACTGACAGTGTTGTTTGAGTGGCTGTATCCACTAAGGTACATTTACTCATTCCAGCACCTTGTCTGTGCTGAAGCTTGGCTCAGCCTTGTGTTTTTGGAGTGAATGAAAAGTATTACACTGATGGTTGCTTGAAGTGATTTTGTATAGCACCAGAAATAGTAAATTTATTGATTAAATCAAACAACTTACTGAAAGTCAGAAGGCTAATTGAATCCAGCTAATGAGCCTGTGTGCTGGTGGCACTGCAAACGTGCACAGCAGCATTTCCAGATCAGAAGGTCAGAACTTCTGTCACAGGACACTGTGCATGTGATGTGTTTGTCAGGAGCTGTGGAAAGTGTCTCTTGTTTTTTCCACTAAGGTGTCTGATCATTCCTTCCAATCCTAGGGCTCCCACCAAGGACTCATCAGAAGAGGAGTACGACTCTGGAGTGGAGGAGGAAGGCTGGCCTCGGCAGGCAGATGCTGCAAACCATTAAACACTGTCAGAACTCTCACCTGCAAAAAGCTCACTCGGTTCTTTCCTCGCCTCCAGCCTGGCCCCAAAGGCACCAGATCTGCCTCGGATACGACTCCTGATGAGGAACTTCATTAGCTAAACCAGATCGTGTATTTTACTGCAGCACCACCTGGATGGATGGACAGAGTGTGGACTGGGATGGCATAATGTTCAAATATGAATTGTATATTACACTTGTTCAATTAAAATGTATAGCAAATGCAGCAGCACCTGCACTGCCCTTGCAGAAACTAAACCAGCAGCGCAGGTGCTGCCAATAGTTAGATTTAACAATAATGTTACTCTACAAGTGGGAAATCAAATTTAATAATTAGTAGAGGGTGAGTAAACTATCTTAGCTCCTGGTACGGCTCACAGGGGGTTATGTTCAGGTCAGTGTTAGAGTCCTGCTGGTGTGTGACACCCAGCGGGCACTGGAGTGGCTTGTTACATTGGTGGGGGACACGTTTGTGACACTGCTGGGAGATTCTGCTAAAATGTGACACGGGTTTGTTACAGTCATTTGAATATCCAGTGACACCCTTCACGTCTCCATTGGGAGCTTGGATCACCTTGGATACTGTGAAAGAAGGTGAAGTCTGGTTTTCCAGAGGGGTAAACAAGATTCCTAGGAAGCAGTAAAACCATCTAAATTTGGATGAGAAGTCGCCATAAATTTTTAAATATTAATGTTCTAATATAGTACATTTTGTTTAACGTATTGGAACTATCATGCATCAATTTTTTGGTGCCAGGTATTTGCCCAACCTATCTTATAATGTTAAGAGATGAAAGAAGTAAATGTATAATATTTTTGCTGTAATCAGTAGTGATTGTTCACATGACAATGCTTTTTAAGTTATATTCTCAAATGCTAGTATTGCATCTTGTGGGTTTGTCTTTGATTTTAGTCTCACAGCAAGCAATCTTCCCTCTTCTGTTCTCCACCAGAATTAATTCAATCCTTTAGCAAAGTCTTTGTAAAACACTAAAGGACCTGTATGTTTTTGATTTGTTTCAGGAATTAAAATTGTCACTTAAAACTTTGTTTTGTTCTTCGCTGAAAATGTGGACTTGAGTTTCCCTAGAACTTTCATTCACACTATTTAAATAAAACTTTCATCCTTCTTTTTAGTCTAGTGGCTGTTTTAGGACAGGAAAGGATACTAAAAATCTATTGACCCTATTTCTGTCATTAATTTTTGTCATGTAAATTCTATGTAATTCTTGTGTTCTTCCCTAGCAGCAGTGTGACATGCAGTTGTAGCCAGGTGCAACAGATACTTCCCGTGGGATTACAGATTCTTTTCAGGTTAAATGACCCACTAATGGTTCAGAAAAAGCTGCATTTGGAGTTGAGGATATTTCTAGAAGCTTGGTCCCCTCAAAATGGGAATTTGTGGTGAACTATCTGTAACTGCATCCTCACTTTCCTTTTTGTAGAGTGAAAAAAAATGTAACAGCTTTTAATTCTGAATCCTTTAATTCAAATCCTTTTTTAAACAGATAGAAAAAAACCACATTTTAGGTGAAACTGTTCAACAACTTAGTTTTGAAAGTTGTTTGGAATTCTGTAACCAATAACTGTTTTTAAGGAAATAAAAATGCCGTGTAACTACAGTTTGTACTTCACCTCTGGCGTTTGAATAAAAGCGAATATTCAAGCAGCGGCGAGTTGTCATCCCTGACGCCATCCCCGCATATTTAAACTTTTAGGAGTAGTTTTTGAAATTTAATTGGGAGGCGGGCGGGGCGGGTCCTCCGGGCCGCCAGGGGGCGCGGTGGCGCGGCGCTGAGGCGGTGTCATGGCGGCGCGCTGAGGGATGATGGCGGCGCGCTGAGGGCTGCGGCGCGATCATGGCGCAGCCGCCGCCGTTCCCCGCCCGCCTCCCGCCGCCCTTCCGCGCCTTCCCGCCGCCTTTCCCCGGCCCCGCCGTCCGCCCGGCGCCCTTCGCGGTAGGACCAGCGGCACCCCCGCCTTTCTTCTTGCCGCCGCCGCCTGCGGCTGAGGGGGGACCGCGCTTCCCGCCGGGCGTCCCTTACATAGCGGCGGCGCCGCCGCGGGCAGCGGCCGAGGAGGAGGCGGTGCAGCGGCAGCAGGATGAGCTGTGGCTGTCGCAGTTCCTGGGCCGCCGCCGCGCCGCTCCCCCGCCGCCGCCGCCCGCCGCCGGCGCTCTGCCGGGCCCTGCGGCGCAGCGAGAGCCAGCGCGACCAGCCGGGCTGGGCCCGGGCGCGGGACGAGGCGGAGGCGGCGCTGCGGGAGCTGCGCGAGGTGGTGAGGCCGCTGCGGGAGCCCGGGTACGGCGAGGCGCTGCGCAGGAAGGCCGAGAGGGCGAGGAAGAGGAGGCTGCGCCTGCAGCGGAGGAAGCACGAAGCCAGGGCGGCCAAGGAGGAGGAGGCGGCCCGGGCCGCCGAGCGGGAGGCCAAGATCGACCAGTGGCGGGCTAAGTGCATCCAGGAGGTGGAGGAAAAGAACCGGGTATGGTCCCCAGTGCCTGGTCCTGCCTCTCCACGGGGCTCCAGGTGGGGCAGGGGTGACCTGCCGGTAGTGGGGTCACGGCGGGCTGTGCCTCTCCCACGCCTGGCTTTGACCCTCTTGCTTCAGTGGGTGCTGCTGAGGTGCTGCATGACTTCAGCATACTGAGAGACGTGCTGTTTCCAAGGCCTGCAGCCCTGCTTCTTGCTTAGAAGTCTTGTTGGGCATCTCGGTTTTGCCATCCTCATATGATAGGCCTTGACATGAAATTGGGGTTTAAGTTGTTTCTGAACTCCTGGAGATTTTCCTCTCTGGTCCCAAGTGTCGGTTTGTCCACACAGCTGCCCTGTGGTGGTCAGTGTTGTTTCAGTATCCATCAGCCTTCCCTCCTGCTTTCATCCTTCTAAAGCTTGTGGTTTACAAGCTTTTTCATCTTACGGGGAAGTAAAACATCTCCAAAGTAAAAAATACACCTCAAATTAGACTGGTTGGGAAGTGCTGTAGGCACCTTTCTGTTTGTTTTTGCTAAAGAGCTCCCTTTCTGCTGGTCTGCTGCTGGGATGGTCCAGAGCAGCTGCTGAGGAAGGGTTTGTGGTCAGACTGTGGCAGCTTGATGGTCTTAATTGCAGAACTGTGGAATTGGGGTGGTTTCTGTTAATTGTAAAAGATTTACCCTGAATTTCAGTGGTTAAAGGTTCTCAGGCTTTCATAATTCATAAATCTTCTAGGAAGTATTCAAAAATGTGTGGATGTGGCACTTGAGGACATGGTTCAGTAGTGAACGTGGTGGTGGGTGCTGGGTTGACAGATGGACTTATGGTCTTGTCCAACCTTAACAATTCCATGATTCTGTGATTTGGCCAGGATATATGAGTCCCACAGCATGTTTTTTTTTTCTGAAGTCTGTGGTATTTTAGCCTTTTTTCGTAAAAAGGCAAGGCTGGATGGTTGTCTTGACTTGTTGCTGTTCCTGTGAAATCACTCTGCTCTCCAGTGCTTTGCTAATCTCTGAGAATACCATTTGATTTGTGTCTTTGAGGGATATTTCACACATCTCATCTGGTTTTTTTTCATTCCCTTTCTAGGAGCAAGAGCTGAAGGCTGCTGCTGACAGTGTCCTGTCCGAGGTCCGGAAGAAACAAGCAGATACCAAGAGGATGACAGACGTCCTGCGCGGGCTGGAAAAGCTTCGGAAACTGAGGAAAGAAGCTGCTGCCAGGAAAGGTTCATTACCACATTGGTCTCAACTGTTTTAATTGCACACACAGGAAATAAGGGTGCCCTGTGCTGACTAGCAAGGCAGCAGCTTCAAAAAGCTGTGTCTTCATTTTGATTTTAATTACAAGAATAGATACAAAGTGGTTCTGTTCATGTTTCCAACCTCTTTCTGGAAGAAGGATTATTCCAGTAAGAATTCTGTCTGTTAACAAGGTTAAGCTCATGTTCCTCTGAGATTTTTCCAGCTCTGCTCCCAAGTCTGGTACCAAACCCCCTTCTGAATCTGAAAACTTAAAATCACTTCTCTTTCTGTTCAGGTGTTTGTCCACCTCCGTCAGCAGACGAAGCATTTGAAAATCAGGTGGAGAGTCTCAAAACCTTGCTCAAAACCCGCACAGAACTGTATGAAGCTGAGGAAAGAGCATTAAGGGTTATGCTGGAGGGAGAACAGGAGGAGGAAAGGAAGAGGGAAATGGAAAAGAAACAGAAGAAGGAAAGGGAAAAACTACTACAGCAGAAACTGGAAATGGATTCTAAGTTGTTTGGGGATCCAGGTAAATTCTGCCTCCTGTTCTTAATAGTGTTTTTCCACATCACATCCCCATCTCAGACACTGGATTTGAAATGCAGGCACAGATCTAGTTGAGAGAAAGGAGAGTTTCTAGTTGAGAAAGGAGTCATCCACTGGAGTAATTTATGGCCTGAGAATGGGGGATAAACATAGTGGTTTAACACCTGTGGTGTAAGAGGAGCTGTTGAGCTCTTCAACATGGGCTTGCAGACATCTCAAGCTGGTTTCATGTTGTTTTGTAAGAAGAGGTTGTAGATTAAACTGAAGTGAGAATAAACAGAATAGGTTGAAGACTTCCAGAACCATAGATGCTTTTTTCTGGTGCTTGGGTAAGTGTGACTCAGGTAATCTGTAAGGATTCAGTGTCCATATGTTCCTCTCTTTTAGATGGTGGAGTCAGGAAGTTTTGCTAGTCTTGGCTTTCCTCTGACAGCTGTGGTACGGACCAGGAAATGTGGAATATATAAACTGTTTCATGCATTACCTAGGGACCTGATGTCAGATTACAGCTGGGCAGTAGCAAATGATTTTGCAAATTATGGGCTTCTGAGACTCATAGAATGGAAGGTTTTTCTGGATTATTAAGCAGTTTCTGTGATTGTGTTTTCACAGCTGAATTCCCACTTGCCCATCTACTGCAGCCTTTCAGAGACTACTACTTACAAGCTGAACATTCTGTAGCAGCTCTAATCCAGATCAGGTAAAACCAAAGAAAGTATTTTATCATCAGAGATGGCAAACACTGTTTTTTTGCAGTTGTAAATTCAGTGCCCCTCTTGGTTTGTCAGCTTCCAAATATGGTTATGCAATGGATTGTTCTGTTTTTTTCAAGTTTCTTGCTTGAGTCATATCCAACAGATGCCCCTGTGAGGCAGAGTGCACTTCATGCATAACCGTTCCATTTAGCAGCAGAACATTGAATTTTCACATTTGTCTTTTGAAAAAACAAGTTTAAGAGTACAAGTATTGTGGATTTTGTATCGATCAGTAACATCTATGTGGGTGTATAATAAATCTTACCACCAAATTCATCCCAGCTCTCCTCTCAAACAACACTCTCTCTGTTAAAGGCACGAATGGGATCAGTACTTGGTGCCAGCTGACCACCCCGAAGGAAGCTGCATCCCTCCAGGATGGGTTCTGCCGAGCCTCCCCACCAATGACACTTGGGCCACTGCTGTCAGATAATTTAGCAATAAATTATTTCAGCCTTGGAGGATTGCTTCATTACAACTACGTGTAACTATGAGAGGGTCCAAAGAGGAGGTCTCGTCCTCTCTTTCGGCAGCCAGGTACTGGAAAGCCTTTACTGCAAGGTCTTGAAAAACAGTTTAAGAATTGTTTTTGCTGATTGACTGTGGAGGGAAATGGCTGAGCAAGCCCAGAGCTGCCAGGCCTCTCGTGGTGTGGAATTACAATCCAGTTCTTGTTAAATCTCAATCTTAACAAAGGAACATTACTGATGGTGGTATTTGTGCCAGTATTATCACATTTTTAGTGGCTTTTATCTTTATAAAGGATGATGAAAGCTTCAGAAATGAGGACATTAAAAAAAAAAGAGATCATTAGTAAACATGTTTTTCTTCTTAAATGAAGCATGTCAAGCATCACTGTCAAAATAGTTCCTGTATTTTTGGGTGTAGAGACAAACCTATTACAAGTTTAAACAAATTCTGAAGTACAAGTAAGACAGGGTTTTTCAAGGTTGATTTAAGCAGCTGTTGACATTTTACTTTTGTGGACTAAAGCTGATAACAAAACATGGAAAAAATTCCCAGTTGTGGTGAAATAGGTCAGACAACCATGTGAATAAATACAAATTTGATGAATAAGCCTGCTGGAAAAAACTCAATAAAATCTGTGGTCTAACCTACTGTAAGTGTTTTGACTATATAGATATTTTTGTATATGTCTATAATATTTGATTAAAAACCACAGCTTTATTTTGTAAGTTTTTTTTTTTTTTTTTGTACAGAACAAAGAGGGAAAAATGGATTTTTGTTTAAAGCATTTTCCTGTCAGGGAAGAGATTTGTTTGAGTACTTTGCATCAAATACAACTCCAACAAGGAGAAAATTGCTGGGAAAAGATTTGTGTGAAGGAACTTCTCCCTCCTGCAAGGTGACAGAGGTGACATCTAATGTCAAAGCTTTCCATGTTCTGGACAGTTTGCTTGTAACTGTGATGGATTTGGAGCTTTGCTGTTCTGCACAGATTGCTGTGGCACCTTTCCAGAGCTGCAGTCCTTATTCTTGCTTAGCCCCAGTGTGTGGCAATGGAGTTAATCTCTCTGGTGCTTTGCCTCTTGGCGTCACAACAGCGCGTAATTCACGCGTGTCATTGCCTAAATTCAGTACCTGGGCCTTAGGTGTAATGTTAGCAGTGTCCTGGCTGAACCTTTGCACTGGTTTCTGTCAGAAAGAGACACAAACTGGTAGTTCCTGATAGAACATGACTGCAGAAGTTTGCAGTTCTTGCTCACCTGTAGCACCCTAAAATACAGATTGCCATGAAGTTCTCTGCAGGTGGTGTTCTGATTTGCTCCTCCCTACATCCTCCCATCCCTAATGTCACTTCTGGTATCTCATTACTCCAGACCCAAGGCTGAGTCAAATCCTGGGGAGTCTTCCCTGATGAAAATGCACAAGATCAAATATAAAAATAAAAACAACTGCATAAAACCAATACAGACCCAACACTTTCAGTTCAGGCAGCTTAGTGACCAGAGGATGCTCTGCTTAAACAATTAGGCTCCTTATCCCATCAGCATGTCTGATGGAACAGGCCAACTGCTTAAGCTACGATTATCTTAAAGCTGTCCAAGTCAGCTGCTTGTCTGACACTGCAGGAATTTACAGAGCTGAGCAGTAGATAAGGAGGCAGCAAAGCAGCAGCAGCCCCGTTCTCCCTGCCCTGCGAGGAAAGAGCTCCATGAGTTCATCTGATGGTAAGGACAGCTTCATATTGCTAATGAACAGAGGGCTTGAAAATGCCAGGGGAGGATCCACCTTTAGGTATGTTCTGTGTATTTGTTCCTGCCTAAGACATCTGCATTGAAATGTTTAATAGCTTTAGTGAGACATTTATAGAGACCTGATGGAGACACTTGAAGTAATATTTTCGTGACAACATTCCCAATTCACCACCAATTTTTTCTCTCCCCTGCAATTCCTGATGTAAAACCATCACCACACTTAAAAATGAATGCATGGTTCCTAAAAGCTAGTCTTAAAAATTACTTGTTTGACATCCTGCTAATTCCCAAGCTTGCCTGATGCACAGTCTCCTTGCCTGGTTCCCAGTAAGCTGCGCATTTGTAGAGACCTGATGAAGACACTTGAAATAATATTTTTGTGACAACATTCCCAATTCACCAGCAATTTTTCTCTACCCTGCAATTCCTGATATAAAACCATCACCATACTTAAAATGAATGCATGGTTCCTAAAAGATAGTCTTAAAAATTACTTGTTTGGCATCCCGCTAATTCCCAAGCTTGCCTGATGCACAGTCTCCTTGCCTGGTTCCCAGTAAGCTGCTGCAGTGCCCAAAGGAATGCCCTCACCCCAGCTCCCTCAGGATGCTCTGTGTGATGGCTTAGCAGCACGAGGCCATGTGCATGAGCTCTGTCACCACAGGTTGTGCAGACATGGGAGACCTGCAGGGTGTCCTCCTTGGCTGTGCTTTCTCCCTCTGTAAGTGGGAAAAGTGCTCAGTCCATCCCTTGGGGAGGGGAGTGTTCAATGGCACCAGAGGGAAGAGGGATGGGAAGCAGCAGGGCAAGCATGGAGGAGAAAAATGCTCAGGATCTCTGCCAAAGGAAGCCATAAGCTTGGTCAAGTCCTTCTGGCTCAAGCTGAGAATAGCAAAGGTTAGTACAGACAAAGCTTCCTGGTGTCAGTAATTAAGATTTTGCCAATCTGTTTTTACCCAGCTGGCACTTGAAACAGCTCATCTTTTTCTTCTTCCAGCCAGCTTAAGAGATGTTCTTACAGTTTCTGTTTCCCTTCCTCCAGCAGCAACAAATCAGGCAGCAGCAATGAACTACCTGGATGAAGTTCCCTTCCGGACAGCCATGAGCCTCAATGGGGACTCAGAGGGAGAAATCCCTTTAGTCACTGCCCCAGACATTGAGCTCCCTGACTGCACCGACATCCTCATGAGCACCATGGTGAGTCCACACCTGGTCACTGCTGGGGGATGCTGAAAGGAAATCAGCAGTGTTCTCATGAAAGAAGGGAAACCTCCTAACTGATCTCTTCACTGGCTGGTTTGCAGCAATACTGGGAGAAGCTGAGGATGATTTGTGGTGTGTGGCAGTGATGATGGGGTTGGCTTGGAGTTGCTTTCTAAAAATCTTTTCCAGGAAGGAAGGTTAGGTTTTTCTGGTATAGGAGGACAAAGGCTCTGCTCTGGGGTTGTTTTCTACTTTGGAGTTAGCACTGTCTCATTTATTAATAATATTTATTAAATATTTACCAATAAATCTACCAGCTATAAGCAGGCAATACTACCTGTGCTGGAAGCATATAGATAGTGTTCATATATATATATATATACACACCTCCTGTGTTTCTCCATTTAGCAATGATTTGATGCTCCCCTCTGAGGCTAAGCCATTTTGCTGCTGGTCCAGGCTGATCCTTGTGGAGGGACGTGAGGGTGTTTTCCTTGGGGAGGCTGATTTGGGTCCACAGCTGACCCAAGTGGCAAGAACAGTAAAAACAGCATTCCTGGGCTGTGAATGTACTTGCCTGCCTGTCAGGAGGAGACCTTGTTTGGAGAGCTCTGGGACAGGCAAGGCTTGTTTGTTCCAGGAAAACCCTCAGATTTCAGTCACAAACACACTTATATTTTAAGCTGAACTATGTGGAAATGACAACTCTGTTTGGGGACCAGCCGAGACCCTGGCGCCACTAGATAATCCCATGGCTGGTCCTGCTTCTGCCCGAGGTGGCATCTCCCCTCTTGGTGCCTTCTGAGCCCCTGAAGCAGCTCTGCCAAGCGCTGCTAATGAGGGTCACAAACAAACTCTGCCACCATTCTGGGGCCAGTCTGTGGCTGGATGCAGCGCCTCTGCAGCTGCCTAAAACTGGGATGTCTGCACACTCCTGCCTTCCACAGTCAGAGTGACACAAACACCTCCAAGCATAAAATACTTTTCCTAAGAATTGTTGGTGCGACTCACAATAGTAATGACTTCATAAGACTTTTTTCAAGCATAAATTTGGGGATTCCCTACAGAGATGAGGCTGGAGCACTGCCCAATCCTACAGCCAGCCCTAATGCCCAGGGAAATAGGAGCTGATAAGGGAACACTGCAGCCCTTAAGATGCCTCGTGGAGTGCATGGTTTGCTCCATGCCACTTGGTCTGGTTTCACATGTCCTCACCAGCTGCCTCTCGCTCTTCCGCAGCACGACTTCTCGCTGGAAAGGAAGGTGCTGTACTGGGTGGAGGTGGCCTCTCAGCAGCACACCTCCCGCCATCGAGTCACCTCCGAAGTCGTCCCCACGGCTCCCCCGTGCTGGCTGCTGCTGGTGGACCCTGCTGACAGCTACGGGGGGCGGGCTCGGGAGGGGGCAGTGCGGCGCTCCATCAGCCTGAGCGCTGCCGACAGCTCCTACGGGCACGCCAAGGGCAGGGCGGCCCTGTCCGACACCGAGAGCGACACCTGGCACTCAGAGGAGGGGGACTACTCGGATGATGAGTACTCCTCCACCTCTTGGGAAGAGAATGACAAGGACGAAACGCTCCTCTCCAGGAGGAGAAGCTCTTCAAGAAGCGTCTCTTCACGCCCTGGCTTTTACCAGACCCGACCAAAGACATCGCCTGGCTTGCTGGAGCCCTCGCCAGAGAACAATGTCCACAGCCCAGCCAGCCCAGACCCCAGCAAGCAGAGAAGATCCATGGTGATATTTAACAACATGAAGAACGAGCTGGAAGCAGCCAGGAGGAAGCTGGCTGCTTTGGTGCATCCTTTGAACAGAGCTGCCACTGGGAGCAGGGGCATCCTGGTGCCACGGCTGCTGCCCCAGTGCCCTGGCACCAACCACAGCGTCAAGTATGGGCCAGACCCAGACGTGTCCCAGCAGGGGAATGTTGTGCCAACTCCTCCAGCCACAGCCACGCCGATCCCTCCCATCAAGCAGCACAAGCCCACGGTGCCGGTGAGAAGCTTCCTTTGGTGGCCCCTTTGTTCATCACTGGGAGAGGAGGGAGGTGGAGGGCATCGAATTGGTCTCATTTGGTAGGGGATGGTCAGCAAAAAGGAAGCAAAATGGGGCTTTGGAAACAATTCCCATTGGAATTGTTTGGAACTTTGGAAACTGGACCCATGAGGAATTGCTGAAGTTTTCACAAGAAGAAAGGGTTTGATTTTGTCACTGAGGTTGAAAGAAGCTTTCTGGGTGCACATCTACTTGCTCTGTCCAAAACATCTGTGTTTTCCCCAAGTAGGGTCTAATCTGATTTTCAATTGAAACACTGAAAAAAGAGTGAAATATGGGGAGGTTGTCCTCTTTTTGCCACCTTATCCCATTCTAACAGATATATAAACAGGGGTTTATAGGGAAATGTCCCCTTACAGTCATTATGTATTTTCTAGGAAACTTTGGACTTCATAGTCCTATTAGAAATACAGATAATTTAGTGATAGAGACAGTGATGTGAAAGGATGGAGTAAATAGTACTGTGTCAGCTTGCACCCTGCTTTTAAGAAATTGCATCTAATCCAGCTGCTTGAGAGATGTAGGAGATAAATTACTGAAAACCTGCAATAAAACCATCAGACACTTGAATGAGCAGGTTATTTATATGCAGTTGCATTTGACATGGAGTAATTAAGGAGAGATTAAATGCCCATGTGTATTTGTATAAACACCCACACTGAGCACTCTTCTCTGACCTGTATCTATAGCTGAGCCTGGGTTTAATTAAGTCCAGTCTCATTTGATGTTTCTTGTATGGGAATTTTCCTCTTCTGGAGAGAACAAGGTAACCACCAGCATTCAGAAGCATTGCCTCAGCCTGGGTTGTTTCACCTCATTCCATGACCTGGAGCAATAAGCCCATCTGGTTTTTTCCTTGCAGTCCCTCAGCCCCTACACTTGCCTCCCCCCTGCCTCCACGCCTGGACGACCTCTCAGCTGCCACAGATCCCAGCCAGATTCCTCAGCTGACCTGCTCTCTGCACTGAGCCAAGAGGAGAGAGACCTCATCGAGCCTGTCATAGCCTTGGGCTACCCCACCCAGAAAGCCATCCTCACCCTCCAGAAGACAGGAAGGCAAAGCTTAAGTCAGGTTGGTGGAGCTGGCACAGCACTGTGAGAAACTTTTGGTAAAGGAAAGCTTGATTTTCTTGGAGAAAGGAATGGCTGTCTTCTTTGGGGTAGATTTTTGATGGCCTTGCCTTTCCACTTTGGTGTCAGACCACAGCTGACAGGATTTTCCATGAGATTACACTTTTGCTGTAATAAAATAGCAATGAGCCGCCCTCAGCTTTTCAGTGCATAATCACGGCTGGCTTTGTTATCTGTTCAATCTGTTGTGTGAAGCATCATGTCCTTTTGAGGTACAAATTTTGCCCCCATATATGGGAACTTTTTGCACATCATTTTTCCCAGCTGTTGGATTTATGTGATTATTGCCATGGCTCATCCTGTCAGAATGGGGCTGTAGGAATACCTTGGAGATTTGGTTGGGCTCTCTCCAAAACACAACTTCCCTGTGGTGGAGCAAGCAGGGAATCCATGCAAACATTGCAGCAGAGTCCCAGAGCTCTTTTCCCAGTAAACCCTCTATGATAACCTGAAATGTATTGAAAATAATTAACTTGCAGCCTCTTTCTACCCCTGGTATGTGAGTACATCCCTTCCTGCTGTGCTGCATCCTCATTCCCAATGTCTCTGTCCAGATGAATGTCAGAAAGGTCCAGGTGGGCTCAGAGCTTCCATGACATGATGGAACCTGCTGGCTCTGACTCCTTTTGCAAACTTGGGGCTGGACCTGCCCATCCCAGCAGAGGATTTTAGGGCTAAATTATCCAAGTAGTTCTTGCAAAGGGAGAAGGGTCTTAATCATAGCTGAGCAAGAGGAATATCCATGGGGCTGTCAGGCCAGGGAGCAGGAGCAGATCCTGGCAGGGCATGAGCAGGCAGAGCACTGAGCAGCCACTGCTGGCTGCCAGTCTCTTTCCCATTCCCCTGGGAGCTGCTCTCACCCTCCTGGTGAGAGCTTGGAGCTGCTCTGTGCCTGAGTCATCCTGCAGCTTCCAGCTCCCTCCCTACTCACCCCGGCTGGACCAGCTCCCCAGAGCTCGCTGGAGTTTCAGGTGAGCTGAGGTGGGAAGGGAAGCTTTATGTCTTCAATCCATAGAGGTTTCATCTAGGCACAGAGAGATGGGCAGAGCCCAGCCCCTGTTGTTTCATAGAGCCATGCAAGGGTGTCTTGTAGCAACTGCTGGCTTCAAAATGAAGAAGCAGTGCAACTTATTAAGGGTGGAAATGGGTACAGCCTGCTCCCTTCTGTATGAACACCAGGACTCCCACTGCCTTGGAGAAGAGATTACTGCACCCATAGACAAGGTCTGCCTTCTATCCCATGCCTTCTTCACCAGCAGTTCCCATCTTTCCCATTTATGCCCAATGCAGCCAAGATAAAGCCTGACCCTTCATGCATTTTTAAACTACCAAATTAGTTTAAATCTTCCTGGAAAATATGTTCCAGCTGAAGTTAAAAAGAAGACCTGTGCTCTTTATTGCTTGCTGTTGATACCTGAGGTTTCTATGTGATAATGACTACTTCAGCTGTGAGGATCGATGGAAGTACCAGATGGTAGCCAAAAATTGCTCAACTTCCTTGCAGTGTCAAGAGAAGCTGGCAGAGCCCACCCTGCTACAGAAGGCAAGGTCTTCTGTAGCCTTCTTTAGAAGCAATGCTTTCCTAATTTTGGTGGAAGAACTTCTCTGAAATGCTCAAGTAGGATTAGTTGCTCCAGCATGCCAGAGGTTCACCATGTAGGATGTCATGGCCAAAAAGGCACCATTGAATTTTGATCAGTCATCATTGATCAATTCAAAATGCATCATTGGTCCATGGAACCCTCAATGTACATGTGAGGTGAGACATGACAAAGGCTGCAGCTGATCAGTGTTAAAAAAATCTTCTTGTTTAGTCTTGAGGATACATACATATATTTCTAGAGATAAAAAACATTAAGTTGACAAAGGCATTGATTTCATGCTGGGCTTGACCAGGCTGCCAGGACTATCTGTGTATGCTGTGGGTGAGTGGCTGTTCTGCCACAACAGGGGAAGAAAATACAGCAGTGATCTGGGTTTGTCATTAGCCTGGTAACAAGGGAAAAAACATGAGGTGAGGAATGCCAGTGACCAGTGACTGTCTCCTTTCTGAGTTACTGGGCTCCTTAAGGCTGACATTTCTGAAAATCCCTACCCGACTGTTCAGCCAAAATAGATCAACTCAATGTTTGAAAGACTTTTTTAACTTTTTCCTATGTTTTATGGCCTTTCACTGAGTCCTTCTCCGTGTCTATGGCAGTGCTGGGGAAGGTGGAGATCTGTGTGCTGGTGAATCTGGGGAGAAATGAATCAGCTTTTCCTTGGATGAAGAAGCTTTGGAGAGACCTGTGGGATGTTTTCATTCCCCCTGCTATTGTATAGCTCATGTATTATTGCCTGTCCCATATGTTTTTGGACAGTGAGTGATTCTCGCGGTATTTAAAAGATGCTGCTGGGAATTGTTCTGTCAGCACTCCAAGCACAACGAGGAAAGCCAAAAATAACTGTTTACTTTCAGTAATGACAGCACACAGGTCTCCCTGGGGTGGGCTCTGCACTTGGGCCCTGGAGCAAACCCACGGGTGCCTGAACCCAGCACATCAAAGGGATGCGGGGTCAGCCGAGCGAAGTCATCCCACGGGGACCAGCCCTGCCTCACCCTGGAGGCTGTTGCTCTGCATCTCAAGTGTTCACATGTTTGGTTTCCTCCCTGTTCCCATTCCCACCCTGGGAGGGTGAAGGAGGACAAAGATGTCTCCCTCTGGAAATCCCACAGACAGACAAACAGACCACCCTGGCTGAGCATTAGGTGGGAACTGGCAAGATGGTGGTGGCTCATGTACCCCCCATGGTGTGTCCGTGGGAGGTGGCAAGGGGGCTCCTGACTAGCCTTGCTCCCCATGCCTACAAGGCTGGATTAACCTGTCTGTCTTCCTCTGCAGTTTCTGAGCTACCTGGGTGCCTGTGATCGGTTGCTGAAGCAGGGCTATGAGGAAGGGCAGGTGGAGGAAGCCATGGAAATGTTCCAGTACTCCGAGAAAAAGGTCAGAATGGGATGGCACAGCCCAGCCCTTTGTGCTGTGTCCTCCAGGCTCTCTTTTTCAGTGGGCTGCATGCTTTCCTCTGCCTCCACAGGCCCTCCTGCAGCCTCATGGAGGGCCAGACCTCTAGGGCAGTGTCACCTTTGTGGGGGAGGACACCTGCTCCTTCACTCTTCTCTGCCCTTCTTCTCACCCTGTTGTGCAGCACAATGCTCACTCAGCCTTTGTTTGGGAATCCAGTCCTGAGCCCACCAACACTCACACTGTCTCCTGCTGTGCCAGCTCTCCCTTCTAGCCCCACGGAGGAGAACCATGGAGAACTGGGAATTTGTCTCCATCAGTCTCCCCTGGGGGTAATGGAGATCCTGGGAAGGTAGAACTGCATGAAATCCAGGCTGGCAGTGTTTGCCAGGGTGCCGATGCCTGTAGGATTGCTGTGTCACCACTCCTTAGGGCAGTGGCAGTGGGAGGGCGCCTGGGTCTGAGTGTCAGGGAAGGGTTTGTTTATTAAGGACCCAGCTCTGGGTGATGTTGTGGTGCTGGGGCTCAGCCTGAGCAAAGTGGGGGAGCAGGACAAGTGAATTTCAGCTGTGCTCCCTGCCATTCCCTTCTCTCTTCATAATGCAGGCAAACACTGCATGCAATTGATATAAACAGTATAAGGAATAGTGAAGCTAGAGGCTGACTTTATTAAATATTTCCTATTTAAGAAGTTTCAATGCTGCCAGGAATATGTGTGCCCCCAATCTGCTGTCACAGTGATACAACTCAGCCAGATCTGCTGGCTGCAGCCTTGTTCCACAGCACTGCTTTTTCTGCAACTACATGATATATCCATCCATAATAACATCCTCCTTCTCTCCTCCTTCTTCCTCCAGGCAGCTGAATTCTTACATCTGTTGGCTCAGTTTAATGACATGGGCTTCCAGCAAAATGAAATCAAGGAAGTTCTTTTGCTTTGTGGGAATCAGAGGGAGAGGGCGCTGGAGGAGCTTGTGATGAAAACCCACTGAGCAGCATCCTGGAGCAGTTGCAGCTTCCCCTCTCCACACCAGACCAGAAGGACTCAGATGATTCTCCTGCTCCATCCCCACCCCTGGAAGCACCAGACACACAACTTCAAAGCTCTGCCTTGGTGTCTCATTTTATGGACATCAATCATAAGAGTGTTTGTCATGCAGGCACTGACTGCATAGCAGGAATGTTTATCTCCTCACCCACACGTCCCCACCCTTGATCATCTCAGCTGTTCAGATTAGATGAAAGAGGATCCAAACTGCCTTTGGCTTAGATTTTTGCAAAACACAAACCAAACCAGTGTTCTCCCTCCACCTGGGGTGATGGGTGTCATGTTTTCAGCTACAATCAAGTGGGGATTCTTAAAAGATTATATAATCAACAGAATAAATTGTTTTCCTGAAAAAAAACTGAAGGCTCCTGCGGGAACATGTGTTGGTCTCGGCTTAGGAAGAGTCTCAGCTGACTTAGTCATGGTTGAATATTGTAATTGAAATCCACTGTGATCACATTAGCTTCTCCTTTTAAACCAGAAATGTGAGGAAAATACACAGTTTTATGTGGATAAAGAAAGAAAACAAGCTGCCCTTGCTCTGAAATACATGAGGTTTATCCAGTGCAATGAAAAATGGTGGATGCAAAGGTTTGTCTTCAGGCAACTTCATGAGATCAGAACAGAGAGATGGGGAACTGCTCACTGCCCTCATGCTCTGCCCAAATCAGGAAAATTCAGGGGGTGCTTCCCTAAACTGTGAGGACAGTGGTTCCAAATGAAGTGAAGCATGAATGTCAGCATCAGGAACATTCGGATGCCCCAGAGAATTTCTGTATATAACTGAAGGACAGAGAATGGGAGATTCAGATCACTGTACAGGATGTGTGTCTTGGCTTGGCAGTGGAACAGTGGACAGTGTTTTCATATAAAGCATGTTATTTTCCTGTGAATTAGAAACAGATGTAATTTCTTTGAGTAAAGATGCTTGGGGGTTCTTCTGCAACATGTTTGTCTTTTTCTGTCAGGACGCCAACTGGCACAACCCAGCAGAGAAAATCCTTAGTTGTATCCGTACCATTTTCCATCGTACCCTTCCAAACAATCTCCCAGTGCAGTGTGCTGCCATCAAGGTAAAACACTGTGTCCATTCTCCCTGGATCTCCAGGTGGGTGCCAGACAACAACAGGAAGGTACAGCTCTCCCTGGCTGCCTTCATTCTTGCCTGGATGCAACAAGGAAACTTGGCATCCATGTTTTGGGGGAGTTGAACCATCCATCCCCAAGAGTGCTTTATTCCTTCTGCTCTTCTTTAATGGCATTGAAAATGTGGCACCCTGTATGTCCTAGGGAGATATTCCTGGGGAGCTCACAGGCTCTTTTTGGAACTCCCAGCCCTGTTTTTCCTCCTGCTTTCCCTTGGTTATACAAGCTTTTATTTTTGATACGGCCCATATAAGGCAAGTCCATCTACAGACAGCTTTTCCTTACATTCCCCCTTGCCAAGATGATGTCACCTTAAAAACGAGACTTGCAAAAGGTTAAGCTGTGATTAGGCAGATCGTGTCGCCTGGAACTGTGATCTTTGGCGGAGCAAACACCGTGAGCATGGAAAGGGGAAGATAAGGGTGCTGTGCTGGTGCCAGTGGTGCTGAATTCTGCTGGAGCAAAGCACACTGGCAGCATTGTGCCAACTGACTCTGCAAAGGCTGAGCAGCTTCTTGCCCTCCTTAGTGGTTTGCTTGGTCCTGGATCTTGGCTTGTTTCTTGCAGAGGTAAGAAATGTATCTTTTTTCCTCCCTTTGCACTTAAAATTGTCTTTACTTTCTGGATCACAGTCTGGATTGATGGATGCAACAAATGGCTCTTGGGAGCATCCATGCCATACTCAGCTGCCTGCCAAGACTCACACTTTCCCTCAAGTGCTACACTTAAAATCTTAAAACCTTTTGCATTTTGTTGACAAATATCTTTGTAAACTGAACTGTCAAGAAGCAGCATGTGGAGGTGGGGAGGAGGTTGTATCACTTGCTGTCAGAGCTGGAGGGAAGGGGTGAGCCTGCCAAGTTCTGTGGTCTAGGGTTGGCCACAGGAGCCCAACATAAATATTTTAGTAACAGAATTATTTTAACTTCATTTTAATGGATGTTTAAGCTGTTTGTTCAGCTTAAAATTGTTTTAAAGGAACATGTTTCCATGTGCTGCTCTCAGGAGAAGACAACGTGAAATGTTAATTCAGAATTCTGTGAATTCTGTGAAATGTTAATTGGCTTTGTCTGGGAAGGGGACAATGATTTGATCTGATGAGTTGCTGTGCAATGCTGCTCAGCTCCCAGTGCCCACAGTGCAGAGCTGGGACAGGTCTGTTGGTGTCCCCTGCCTCCCTGTGCCACTGCCAGACCCGCAGCTCCACCAGGAGCAGTCCCCTTAGGGGTGACATCGGGGTGGTGGCCTGGCCCAGTGGCAGAGAGCAAATGGGGACAAGGTGCATCCAGTGGTTTTCCATCTGGCTGTGGGTGCAAGCTGGGGTTTTCTGGTTTGTTTTGGTTTGCAGTTGCGTTGAGTGGGTTTATTCTCAAATGCGGGAACTGTTTGGAAAATGCCGAGAACTTGGCGGGGATCAGCAGTGGAGATATTTGAGGCATCCCAGCTGGTATCCCTTCCGCTGCTCCCGGCATGGACAGCACAGGCAGCCCAAAGCCTGCCCCATGGAAGGGAAACCAGCTGAGCCAGGATCTGGGTTTGCTGCTGCCCTGGTCCCTGTGGTCACAAAGGGGAGCTCTGTGCTACCCAGCTGTCTCCAGAGCTGGTGTTTAGGGCTGTGAGCCTTCAACACCAGGTAGGGGGATCTGATGGGAACAGCTCCTCTGGCTGTGGAGCTATGCAAGCCTGGTATCACCATGTAATGGCTCCCTAGCCCTCATTCCCTTTTGGCACTCTCTGTATTTCCAAGCTTTGCCATGTCCTCAAAACACCCTGACTTGGCTCAAGCAAGTCTCTGGTGAGAGCCAGTACTTGCCACCCTGTTGGGTCTGTGCTGGGGCCTGGGGGGGTGATTGATGGTTCCCAGGTCCCAGAAAACCCTTGGCACATTAAGCACCTGATGCCCAGGAGCTGCATCCCTTCAGTCCCCATCTCCCCTCCTCCTCCCAAGACCCCGCTGCAGCCACAGAGAATTCCCAGGGGATGCAGGGCTCTGTGGGAACTGCACTCCCACGTAAGGCTCTGAAACTGAGCCACAGCTGAAAAAGCATTCAGGGGCAGAAGCAAGTCCTGACACAGATCCCTGTTAGAAGGTATTTTCCTTCAGAAGCACAGGAGGAAAAAACCCCAAACTCAAGAGTAAATGAAAAACACAGTAATGAGAAGCTTTTCTATAACTTTCCTTTTAATTCCTGCTTGTAATGAATGATTTCCCATCAAAGCAGAGAGGAGGTGGAAAGCTGCACACCCTCAGAGTGCAGTCAGAATAAATAAATCCTATGTTTGCATCTCTATGGTATCTGTCCTCTGCAGAAGCCACAATGTCCTGCACACAGCTGGCTTGTGAGCTCATGGCTAACAGGACTTTGTGCCCGTGCAGGGCAGGAAGAGGCAGACAGCAGCTGCCCTTTCCCTCTGGCAGGGTCTGATGTCACCTCCAAGGTGATGCATCCCTGGACCTGAGCACAGCTCCGTGGAGGAGGAGAGGAGCCCAGGGGAGCAGCGAGTGCAGAGCTGAGGCCACGTGCAAGGAGAGCATCCTGACATGGGATGGGGACAGCTATGTCGCGATGTCATGGTCACGCCTTGGCAGCCGCAGGAGGAAGGTCTGCAGGGAGCCGCTGCGTGGGAAACCTGCCCGCTCCTTCTTCTGCTTCCAGGTCTCCTCTTCCACGGAGTAGAGCAGCGTCAGCATCTTGTTGACGGTGTAGATGGTGTCACCCCTGACGACGGCGGTGAAGAGAGCTCCCTTGCTGTTCATGAACTGCCCGGGCAGGGCGCTCCACTGCCGCGACGTCAGGTTGAAGCAGTCGATGACACAACGCAAGAAGTCGTCGTAGGGGCCGTTGCGCATGACGTAGAGGTTGTCACGATGGGCCACCATGCAGTGCCCGTAGCTCTGGTGCCGCTTGAGCTCGGTGACGGGAAGCCACACGTCTTGCTGGGTCTCGTACTCGTAGATGACAGTGGTGTCCAGTGGCTGCCACAGGCAAACGAAGATCTGCCCCAGGGCCTGGGCACAGGGCGCTGCCGTGCTCGGTTGCGGCAGGTCAGAGACGAACGTCCAGGTGCTGGAGGCCAGGTCGTACCTCTCCACGGACTTGAGCGAGATCTTCTCGTACTCGCCACCAATAGCATAGAGGTAGCCCTCGTGGCCCACCAGCCTGACATCGTAGCGCAGCTGGTGGGGGCTGGGGAACTGGCTCCAGGCGTTGGCATCAGCATCGTAGCAGAAGCTGCTCTCCACCACCTGCTTGTTGGCCCCGTAGACACCACCCACGATGTAGATCTTATTATCCATGGTTGCCATGCCGGCTAGGAATGTGCTGGCGCTCAGCGGAAGGCAGGAGAGGGTCCTCCATGTGTTGGTCTCCTCGTCCAGGTAGCAGATGGTCCTGGAGAGGTCCTCCAGGAACTCGAAGGTGGGTGTGTGGGCTCCCACTGCCACAAAGGTGCTGGGTAGGAGGGCTTCCACATAGGCCAGCAGGTCATCGGAGAGGCAGTCCAGGTACTCCTCCAGCTCAGCGTAGCTGTCCCTGATGTAGAGTGCAGCACAGTGGAAGAGATCCAGGAGGCCGAAGATGGCAGCGGCTTGGTACAGCAGGATGCAGTTGTCAGAGTTGATGGAGTGGATCAGGTACTTGGCCAAAGGCTTCACCTGCAGGAAGGCAGCACATTCCACTGCCTGGAAGGTCTCCTCGCTGCCAAGGATGGGCCTCTCGCCCGCCAGCACCCGCAGCATGGCGAGGAAGCCGGCCGCGCTCAGCTCCCCCAGCCCGATCTCCTCCTGCGTGCTCTCCCTCATGCCCGAGCGGAAGAGGGCACGGAAGTACTCACTGCTCTCCACCAGCAAGGACTTCTCCACTGAGAATGACTGCTCCTCCACCCGGATACGCACCCGCTCCGGGGGTCCTGCCTGGGAGCCTTCCTCCTCTGGGGTCATCCTCGCCTGGGAGCCCCTCTGTGCCTGCCCCTGCACAGCCCCCTCTGGCCTTCTCCACCTTTTGATGCCTTTGCTGCACTGCCCGGCGGCCTTGTAATATAAATACCTTGGGCTAAAGATAGCTGAGCTCGTGACCGGGGCCCTTCAAAGGCATCCACCAGGCTCAGCTGCCCCCCCAAACTCAGGCAGGGTTCCAGTGTCACCAGCCAGCACTGGGCACGGCAGAGGTGCCTGGATCATTCCATGGAGTGTGCCCAGCCACTCAGGAGAAACTGGCTTTTGCTCTCTCCACTCTCAGGCATCCTCCTTATGATGCCCTATGGAAGAGTCCCCAGCCTGGGGAGGGCAACACATTTGCGTGGCTGGGAAGAACATCTGGCCACAGTATTTTTTTTTCCTTTAAAACGTGGAGTTTACAGCCCAGGGAGGTGAACAGCATCAGCAAATCTCATTGCCTCCCAGCTCAGCCATGGAAAAGGGGCTTGGCTGTTCCTCAAGTGTTGCCATGGGCAGGGAGAGACCTTCCTTTGTGACCCTCTCCATGGCAGCAGCATCTGCAATATCCATCCCAGCTAAAAGGAGCCATAAGCCAGCTTGTGCTTCACCTGGGGATCTCATGGTGAGAAAAAGGAAATGCAGCGGCCTCTTCTCACCATAAAACTTCCCCTCTGGCCTCAGGGATTGCCCAGTTCCCCATAATACCTGGCTGTGGGAAGAGATAAGCCCCTGTTTACTGACACAGAGCTTGACAGTGAGGAGAAGTGTTATTTGTGGCACATCACTTGTTTGTGTGCTAATCACAGATTTTTCTGGCTAGAAATCCCATTTCAGCTCCACCGTGGGGTGCCGAGGAAGGCTGACAACAGGGCTCACTTGGGGGCTCCTTCCTGGATCTCCCCATCACTACCTGTGATTAGTTTGCAGCTGGTGTTTTGTTTTGATGAATAATTTAACCTGAGCAGCTCATCCTGTTGAAGGTCTATTTTTTGCTCCTTCCTTAACCCCTTCATCCCAGCAGCTGGGAACTTCCCAGGCAGTGCATGATGGCAAAGCTTTTGCCTCAGGATTATGGCCACAGCAGGTTCCCCCAAAAATCTGAGTTTAGGGGAGAATGGGAAAGTTTTGCACTTGCACCACTGTCACTGATCCTCAGCTTAAAATACCGTGTTTAGTTCCAATTGCTTTTAAGCACCCTAGACCTGTGACCAAAGGGGGTCTAGGGTAAAAGCTCCTCAGAGGGGCTCTGCTTCCCACAGGGGACTTATCCCTGTGATCCCATCCTCCCCATCCCTGGGGCTTGCAGGGACTTCCACACTCCCAGACTATTTTGGGAGGGTTAAAAATATCCTGCCTGTATTAACGGGCAATATTCCCAAGGGCGCAGCAGCCCCGCATGGCCGCGGAGCAGCCTCGTCCCCCAGCCTCGGCTCTGCTCCCCCCGCAGCCCCTCGGGGCCGGCCCAGGGCCGCATCCTGTGGTCCCGGGCACCGAGCCCTATCCCAAATGCCTGTGATCACCATGACAACGCTGACTTCAGCCTCCGCCACCTACTCGGGCTCAGAGCCGCTGGGTGCCGGCTGATGGATTGGTACGGGCACCGGTGAGTACTCCCCGGGCTCCTCTTCCTCTTGGGACTTTTGGGTGGCAAAAGGGCATTTCTGTGCCTCGGAAGGCTCTGCCGGCAGCAGAAGGTGTCTGTGCTCCACTGCGTCCGAGGGAGCCGGGCAGGCGGTGCTCAGGGCGGCCGCACGGGCAGCTCCGGGTGCTGCTCCCGCTGCCGGAGCTGTGATGAGTTCGCAGCCTCAGCCAGGACAGAGGGACCCGGCTCGGGCTCGCCGGGGCACGGCGAGGAGCTGAGGGCTCACGAAGGTGCCGGGGCATGGCGAGGCGGCCCCAATCCCGGCACGGCAGGTCTCGGGCCGGGGGTCCCCGCCCGCAGCCGGGGCAGCTCGGGGTGCTCTGCCGAGGGGACTGTCCTCGGGGTGGCCGGGCAGCGTGTCCAGCCCCGCGGCGTGGCAGCTTTCCTTACAAGGAGTTTGGCCGGAGCCCGAGCAGCGGGAGCCGCGCTCGCCTCCGCCTGCCTCATTCATCGCAGCCCCGGCCGTGCGCTCACGGAGAGCCCCGCGTCCCCTCCGGCCGTGGGCTGTAAGGTGGGAGGCTGCGTTTCTCTTCTCTTTCTGGGCTGTGATGGGTGGGCAGAGGGCTGGAGGGTCTTTTCTTTCGCTGGGGTGCTGGCCGCCACTGTGGGATGAGGATGCCAGCCAGCCTCGGGATGCGGATGGAAGAGAGGGGATGTCCCACCCTGGTGCTGCTGAGCCCTTCTCTCCCCCAGGCTGGGGCCGTGAGAAGGTCCCCATCCGACATGGCAGCGGGTGCTCCATGTCCCCCTGCTCTCTCCCGCAGGACCGAGGATGTCCTCGATGTTCGGCAAGCCCCGAGCCAGCAGCGAGCGGCCGCCGCAGAGTCCCCTCCCCGAGTGCAACGTGGCCATCCTGGGGTGCAGGGGGGCCGGCAAGTCAGGTGAGACGGGCAGGGCAGGGCAGGGCATCGGGGAGCTGCCGGGCGCCGTCAGGGGACACCTGCCTCACCTGCCTCTTTCACCTCCTGCAGCTCTGACCGTGAAGTTTCTAACCAAGAGGTTCATCAGTGAATATGATCCCAACTTGGGTAAGGCATGTTCTTATCCCATGGAGCATCCTTCCCATCTCCCACGTTTCCCATGAATGTAGCATGTAAGGGGAAAGAAAAAACAACCCACCCAAAATTGTATAAAAAACAACAGGAAGGGCTGGATTTGACCCAAAACCATTTGCAAAAACAGAGGTGAAAGCAGTGCCCTCTCTGGGGGCACTTCTCATGGGAACGTTCTCTTCTCGCATTGCCCCCAAAAAACAAAAAGCTGAATTCTTGAGGCTCTTTGAGGAGCATCTCATGTCTGTTGGGCAGGGAAAAGGCTGAGGAAATGAGGACGAGTGCACAGCAGGTGACCCTGGGGCTGAGTTTTGCAGTGAGCAGTTCTGGGCATTTTTTTTCCACTCATTTGAGTAATTAATAACTATTTTCCTAGGCCTGACTCCAGGCTGTGGGGAAGAACCATAAATGATTTATTGGGGACATTAAGGAGATATGGACCTTGTCCAAGAACCAACTCCAGCCCCTAATAATTCAGTGACTCTTAGAAAGAAGGATAAATCCTTTCTTCCTCAGATATTTTTGGGAATGTGGTTTCATCTTCCCACGTCAAAACCTTTCCGAAACACATCTGTTAAAAGCTGGCCCAAAGAAAGCATCCTTCTCCTGGGGGAATGGCTCAACGGCTCTCCCTGCCTGCCCTCCTTCCAAAAGAAAGGACTGCTCCTCTCGCTTGATTTATTGGGAAACAGTCCCATGTCAAGCCCCCAGATTGCTTTATCTCATCAGGCCACGGCTTTTAGATAAGGGCTGAGCCCAGGGTGCAGTGATTGTTGTGCCAAGCTCCTTCCCCTCCCTCCTTCTCCTGTGGGAGCCCACGCTTGCAGCACGTGGGGAGGAATAACTGCTCCTAGCCCAGCAACATCACCACCAGTCCCCCAAAATAATGTTATCTCAGGAAGGAGTAAGGTGGGAGGCATTGGTGGAGGGTGCTCCTCATCAGGGCTGAAATTTTTCCATGGTGTCCCAAGCATCCTGGGCTTTGCTTGGCTTTGAAGAAGACAGGATGTGCCAGCCCATCCTCACACAACCACCCTTCTTCTTGCAGAGGACACCTACTCCTCGGAGGAGCTGGTGGACCAGCAGCCTGTGCTCTTGAAGGTGATGGACACTGCTGACCAGGTGAGGCACCGGGGGTGTGATGACCAGCTGGACCACGGCTGGACTGCAGCTCAGCCTCTCCTCTCACCCCCAGGATGGCCCTGGGAACTGCGAGCGCTACCTGTGCTGGGCCAGCGCCTTCCTGGTTGTCTACAGCATTGACAACAGGAAGAGCTTCGAGGGCTGCCAGCGCTACCTCGAGGTGCTCGCGCTGCACGCGCGCGGCTGCCAGCGCCGCTGCCCCGTGCTCCTGCTGGGAAACAAGCTGGACATGGAGCAGTACAGGTACCGGGCACGCGGTAAGGCTGCCTGCTCCCCGTGGGAGAGAGCTCATCCGTCCCCATCCCTCCTGCTGGGATGCAAAACCCAACTCTGATTGCTTCACGGGTATTTCCACCCCCATTAGTATCTGCAACATCCTCCCACATCCCCGAAGTTTCTGCTCTCCTGCCTGAGGGCTGATGTGTTTATTTTGAGCCCGTTGGTATTTTCAGTAGGATGTTTTTTGGCTGAGTGGTGAGGCAGCGTCACCATCCCTGGCAGGGCTTGAGCCAGAGGAGCCCCTCTGGACATGCCCTTCCTTTCCCTGGAGCCCTCTAGTTCCAGCCCCACTGCCAGGACTGGATGTGCCCAATATGTTTTTCTGGCCTTTTGTGCTGCTCTGTGGTCCCATGGGCCCCTGAATCACGTGCGTTGCTGGAACCCTCGTGCTCCCAGGATGGAGGTATCCCCCTCCCCACAGCAAGGACCTGCCCCTCCCTGCTTCCCAGTGCACTGTCATCACACCCACCCCTGGGCTCCTGGAACACATCCCTAGCAGGGGAAGCTGTGTGATTCCCGAGGAACACAAAGAGACTATTACTCTGGGATTTTGGTAAAGGCAAAACTCTTTGGACTCATGTACCTGCTTGTCCCAGGGCAGGGATGGGCAGGTGCTACCTCGGTGCTCTTTGGGAAGGAGGTGTGGGATGCACGATCTGTTACCTGCACCTTTTTTGGGTGGCTGCTGTGCCTCAAGAGTTCCTGCACCCATCCCCTCTGCTCTCACCAGGCAGGTGCTCTCAGCAGAAGGGATGTCCCTGGCCAGCAGGTTCGGGTGCCTCTTCCACGAGGTGTCGGCGTGCCAGGACTTCGCGCGGGTGCAGCACGTCTTCCACGAGGCCGTGCGGGAGGTGCGGCGCCAGGCGGAGGGGAACCTGCCCCTCTTCATCTCCGAGGAGCGGCCCTGCCCGCCCGTGGCCATGCCGGTGGCCCTGCCCACCCACCACAGCTTGGCCACCTGCACCTTCAACACCCTCTCCCCCATCAGCTACAAGGAGATCCCCTCAGTGGCCCAGGCCAAGCTGGTCACCGTCAAGTCCTCGCGGGCTCAGAGCAAAAGGAAGGCTCCCACGCTCACCTTGCTGAAAGGCTTCAAGATATTTTAGGACACATCCCTGTGGGCTGCAGAGAGGGAGGAGAGAGACCCTCATCCATCCCCCCAGCTCCACAGGAGCTGGGACCTTCCATGATGGATTGGCAGGCACTGCAGCAGCTGCTGGCAGATGGTGGCCCTGGTCTCTGTGCCAGGGCAAAGCCAGCAGTGGCAACGTGGCGAGCAGGCAGAGTGCCAAGGGTCTGACATGGGCTGTGGCACTGCTCTGCCTGCCCCTGCCCGGGGCTGCTGTGGTGTTTGCACCCTGTTCTGCCACTGCCACTGCAGCCAGCCCAGTTTTCTGTGAGGATGCAGCAGCTCCCAGAGGAGGCAGAGCTGTGGATAATGTTGGCAGGGGAAGGGCCAACCCCACGGCCACAGCCAGCTTGGACACCTGGCCCACAACTACAGGAGCCCAGAATGGGGAACTAATCATTAATCCAGCATGGAGGCACCCATCTCATTCATCCACAGGTCCCCAACTAAGCAATAAGTAGGAGAAATTTTTATTATTTTTTTAAAATCCAGATAAAAAAGGTGCAGATACTGTTTCAGCTGCTTAAAGGCCTCAGGTGACCTGAAACTGAAAGCTACGCATCAAGCTAAGTCACAGCAAAATTGCTGCTTTTTTGCTCAACTTTTTACACTATAGCAGCCCTTTCCAAAGGCTTTGCAAAGAGATCATCAAGGACATGGTCTGCAAAGCCTGTGTTTAAAAGACTGATGTATTTCCAATAATGTCTTAAATTATTTCATGGCTTCTATGCGTGCCCAGTGAAGGACACAAAGGGAATCCTGGAGCAGACCAGGCTCTACCTGTGCCCGAGTCAGCATCAAGGGCTGGATGTTTGGTTTCAGGTGCTCTATCAGATGAAATGTTCTGCTTCTCCCTGGAGTTGCAGTTACTTTGCAGAGTAAAATATCCATGTGTATATTTGTACATATATACAAATATATATATATATATGACCTTACTGACAGAGAGATGCAATATGGCATTTTGATCAACCACTTTGGAAAGTATTTTAATAAAGAGGATTCTGAAAAGAATAAAAATGTCTCAGCTTCAGTGTTGCTGTTTTCCTGATGGGAAGTGAGGGTGCTTTCCCTGGCTGACTGCAGCCCAAGCTTCCCACTTACTTCCCTGGCTCAGGTCAAACCTGTTTGCAGCACCTGAGGGAGGAGATGAAGCTGGCACTGGAGGGAAGGCTGGAAGCAGCCAGAGCAGTGGGGGAACACCAACCAGGCAGGAGCTGAGCCCAGGGCCCCTCCTGCAGATGCAGCTCTGCTGCTTTCTTGTTTCACACTTTTCTTTCTCCAGGCTAAACTGCATTTTTAAACTTGCACCCCTGTGAATTGAGACATTCTGATACCTTCCTTAAGGCCTAAATGGGCTGACTCCAGCTGCCACTATATGGCCTCCTCAGACATCTCTGTGTACAGAGATGTGACAGTCCCATCCTTCCACTGGACCATCACGTCCCCTGGTTTCTGGTCCTGGGGCCCTGGCTGCTGCTTTAGTGGCTCAGCCAGGCTGTATTCCTGCACAGGCATCAGGGCTTGCTTGGCATCAGGGTCAGCCTCCTGTGTGGTTTGTGCTGCTTCTCTGTTCACGAGGCTCTTCCTTTTCCTGCAGGGAAGGCACAACAAGGACACACAGAGAGTGAAGCAGCAAGCCCAGCCCACGTCTGAGGGCACCAGCCCTGGTGAGGGTCACAGCCATCCATTTACACCGTGTTCCTGGAACACGCTGCCAGCTGCCTGTGGGCAAACGCTGCCAGGTGAGCTGTGCCAGGTAAGTGCTCTGAAGTGTTTGAGCACGCACAGCTGTGGGATTCCCACTTGGAGAGCGCCCAGCTCCTGACGCCAGGAGCAGCACGCAGCGAGCCATCACTAGAGGGAGAGCGAGGCAGGCTCGCAGCCTCAGCTCTTCTCTCGGCAGCTCTAGCTCGGTGCTGTTTTCACGCCCTGGCAAACAGCGAGCTGCTCCTCAGCTGCGGGGGTGTGCAGCAGCCGGGGAAGTGCGTGGGGATGTGGAAGGGGAAAGGCTGGGAGTGCTGCTCCAGAGTCCCTGTACTTAAGGGAGAGCACCTCACACCACAGCTACCATTGCTTCCCTCCCAGCAGCCCTGTTGGGCTGGGCAGAGCTGTGCAGACCTTTATTCAATCCAAGTGACGCAAAAGTGAGCAGGCATCAGGCAAGGTTTTATAACAAAAAATGGTTCAAAGCGAGTTTGTCTTTGCCCTTCTCCCCATCACTCAGGGCTTGTCCTGCCCTGCCAAACCCCTGTGTCTGTTTGCCTGGGAGGCTTTCAGGGCACCACCACCCACCAAAAGTTTCTCAAATTCTCCTGTCTCACCTGTTTCGCACAATGTTAATGGTCAGAAGAACGAGACCCAAAATCATGGTCGCGAGGGACAGCGCAAGAACAGAGTAATTCCATGTTGAGGCTGAGGGAAAGCAGAGAGGCAGTGTTAGCAGGCACAGCACAGTGTGACCCATAGAGCCTGGCCAGGGGTTTTCTGAGGACACCCAAGATGCTCTGTCCTTGATTTTTGTGGCTTTGAAGTTGATCCTCATGACGCTGACCTGCTGCTGTGTCAATCTACTCCCTCCACCCTGCCAAAATCCAAAGAGACCTTTGCTCTCTTGGCAAGCTCTGCCTGGAAAGAGGCTGAACCCCAGAGACACTATCTCAGCAAAGCCTCCTGACTGTCTTCACCTATGGCCTGCTTATTCCAGAGGCAAGACTGAGGGTTTGTGTGTCTGGGGTAAATACCACTGTCCTCCTCAGGGTAGTGCCCTCAGGCATCTCTGTTAGGCAAGAAAGTGAACAGCCAAGGACTGTGTCTCAGCCCAGGAGCACCGATGGGACTCACGGTCTTCTCTGCGGAAGAACCAGAGCAGCTCCTCCAGCTGTTCCAGTTCCAAGCCCAGTGGAAGTGTAATGTTGCCTGCTGTGTGCTCGTCCACGTGTGTGCTGGCCAGGGTGGTTGGGAGGTACTTGTGCTCTGCCTCAGCTGTGGTGGAAAGAGAAAGATGCAATAGTCACTCACTGCAGCCCTTCAGACTGGAGGTGACCTTCCCCTTCACTCCCAGGGTTGCCCAGCACGTCTCTCCAAGCAGGCAGAACGCAGCCCTGAGTGCACAGCCTGACCTCGTGCACTGAGAAGTGGAGAGTGTTTTTGGCTGCAGACCCCATTATGGTGAGGCAGCAGGATTGCAAAACTTCTGAATGCTGATAGGGCCTTCCTACATTTCCCACCTCCCACCAAGGAGAGGCAGCTCCATGTGCCACAATTCACCAAAGAGTTGCCTTGCCAAGACCAGTCCTGGAAATCTGAGACTGGACTGCAGTCCTCCACCAAGAAATTCCTATTCATCATGCTGGCTTGTATACACAGCTTGACTTTAGCATTTTTTATCAGAAAAGCTTCAGTGTCTCTGCAAAGAAGCCAACATTTAAGTGTGGCCAACCCCAAGCAGAGAATACACACACAGAATGCAGATGGGAATGACACCCAGTTCTGGAACTGGGGTGCAACTTTTTCCTTGGCTCAGCCAGGCTGCTGCTGGTATACACTAAGGAAAATAGCCCCACAGAAAGAAAGAAACTGTATTTCCAGGAGGTTGAGGTCTTTGCACATGTAACCTACATCACCCACACCATTATCCTTTAAGCCAAGACTACCTTGCAGCAGGAAAAATGGGATTATCCAGAAGAACTTCATATTTGTATATGCAGATGGGATGGATCACACCTTCACAGTATTTCTTCAGCGTGGAGATGCCTGCAAAAGACAGAGAAACTAAGGAGTTGAGAGAGAACCTGATTCCCCTCCCTACTCCAGCTCTCTTCAAAGAGGGGGTCTCATGTACCTCAGCATCTGTTTCCTCCTGAGAATGTGGGTCTGACCTGCCAGGACAGGGTGCAGAAATCCCTGGACCACCAAGGTGACAGCAGAGGGGGTCTGGCACAGCATCTGCTGCCTGGGTTGGACCCCTTGCCAAGGTGAACCTGTACAGATGTGAGCTCAGCTGCTGTGAGCCAGCCCCTCCCCAGCTAACAAAGCTTCCCTGCTTGCTCCCCTGCCATAATCCCTAGAGAACATATACTTTGCATATGACTACCTATTGCCAACCCATGGATGGCAGAATATGGGTGTGGAGATGAGGAAGTGGAAGGCTGAGCTCCAAGAGGAGGCAAGGCTGGCTTGCCATTGAGGCTGCGGTGTCTCCCATCCCTCAGGGAAACAGAAACTCCTCCTTGACCTTTAGTCCCTCATTTATTAGTGGCATCAATCCAACTTTTACGGCTGCTTGTCCAAATTAGTCCTGAGCAGGGGTTCCTGCCTGTCCAGTGTGAGGTGGTGAGGTGTTGAGGTGGCTCTCCCAGCCCACTGCTCGCTGGCCATCACCCACTGGCAGGTCAGTGACACCAAACACACATGCATCCCTCAGACATTCTGGCCCCACAGGCCATTAATTATTATATGAAGACTTTTATGACAGTCTGATACTCCCAGCTTTTACCTGCCTTTGCTCTGTGGCCTGGTGCTGCCTGAAACTTGCTCCCAAGCATGGTCCACTGTGCCAGGCGTGTCAACAGCACTGCTGCTGACTCCTCAGGGAAGCATTTGTCCCGTCGGTTATAGACCTAATGATTGCTACTATTTTCCCCCCCATTCTCAATGTCTTCACAATTCAAAGTTCACATTTTATTGCTAACCAGGCATGAAGGCTTACTCCCTGCTGCCAGAAAACCACCTGCTAGCAATTCTTAGAGGAGGGGACTCTCAAGTATGTGGTCCATTTTGTATTTCAGAAAATAGGGGTAAAGCTGCTCCCTGCAGTTAGGTGTGCCAATTACCCTTCCATCCAGGTAACCTTTAGCTTATTCACATGGATCACCCCTCACAAAGCAGGAAATAAGGCCTTGGGCCAATGAAAATAAGTTACAAGTCAGCTACACCCTAATAAGAAGTGGCACTTGAATGTGTTAAATCTTGCTGTGCAAGGCTTCTGAGTAATCATTTGCTCAAAGAGGAATATTTGACAAGCATGTTGCTGATTTTCCCCTAAGGTGTTTCATAAGCTGTGGGCTACCTCCTGGTGTCTATGCACAGCAGGGATGCTGGAAAGCTGCTAAAACTACTTGGCTAGTTCATCAAGTAGTGACCAGCAGCCAAATCTCCCCAGAGATGGGAGGCCAGAACTTTGTGGGTAAAACACAGCAGCAGAATGGACCCTTATTGTGCATTAACAGGACATTCAGGTAAAAGACTTTGAGGGAATCTTCTGTTATTTTACAGATCTTTTGTATTTAAATCACAATAACAAAATTAGTTTCACTCATCAAAGCTACAAACCAAAGTGTTGTGGGTTCAGTGTGTCTACGCCAGTGGAGTCTGGGCAGAATTTTGCCTAAACCACCAGTTCCCCCCGTAAGGAAACAGTGACTCCCACAGTCGGGCTGGACGTGCTCTGAGGAGTTTGGATCTTCCAGCCTGGAAGAGATTGTTAAAGGCATCTCCCCCAGCCTCCCCCACACAGCTGCTCTGCCCTGCTGCCCAATGTGGGCGAGCTCTGCTCCACCAGAGCAGCTGGGACAGCGTGGGGGATGTTCCTCTCCATTGCTCCCCTGCCTGCACAACTCAGCAGTGACTCTGGTGGCTGATGCACAGTGATGAGCCCTTAGATCCAGGCCTCTGCAACTCCGAGTGTGCACTTTGCTCTCCTCTCCCTCTGAAGGCACCCAAGACCCTTCTGAGGTTGCTTCCCAGCTTGGGTACAACAGGGGAAGCTCAAATGAGAGAGAGCTCATGCATTTTCTGCTCGTATGGAAGGAGGCAGAAAGAACAAAGAGACCAGTGGCACTCAAGAAACATTTTACCTGTGTTATTTTGAGTTTATATTGACTCCTGAACGTCTTTGTAATTTCTTTCTTCTTGCAAATGGGATTTTAACATCAAAAGCTGCAAAATCTGTACACTATTATGTATTTCAGGAACAAAGAGTCACACAACAATGCTATTTTAAATCCTCTTGTGGATCTGTGGACTTTGCTAGCATTCAATGAAATCTCAAGATATTACAGGAAAATGTCAAGGGACGGCTTTTTGCTCTATGCATTGATCCCAGCACTTAAATGGTAAAAGCCTTTCTCATAATGGAAATCCTTGAAGATCTGAGATATATCAGGTGCAGAAGGCAGAGCTGAGGGATTGGTGCTCTAAAGGCTGGCATAATCCAGCAAGGGGGCTGTGCCACGTGGGGACATAGGGACACACACATCCACAGCTGCACGTGGACTCTTTCCAGCCAGGGCACAGAACGTGGTGCTGTGAACCCACCCTGTGCTTGGCTTTTGTCAGCTCTGATATTCACAGTTTGCCCTCATTCTGCAAATGAGGTCTTTAGATACGTATTATACTGGTTTAAGAAAAGATGTGGGGAAATCTTTTGGAAAGACCATCAAGTACGTCTTCTGTTGAGATGATAATGTCCCTCTGGGCTCCACATTCAAAACTCACTACACAGAATGGGACAATGCATTTAGAACATCTCAGTCTTTTTAAATTAGTCTCCTCTTGTCATCCAGACTCTCTCTCTGGTGGTTGTCCTATCTCAGCAGATTGCCTTAAAATGGGTCTGTTATTTCAAACACAGTATTAAAGTGGGATGTCCTGTCTTTGGGATTCATAGAGGATATATAGACAATGTCACACCACAGACATGCATAAGGATGGTGTGATTTATAAAGGTACATTAAGGTCTGAGCACCATTAAGGAACACAAGGAATTGTTTAATATTTAAAATATTGAGGCAAGAAGGTAGTCTGTGCTATTTTTTAACATCTGTAAAGTAAAAAGCTAAAGAGAAAATCTAAGTTATATTACACTTTTTCTTTTGACTACTTTAATACGCAGGAGTTACCTCAGCCTGCTTCTTACTCGCCATTCAGACAGTCTCTCCTTAAAAATCTGCCTTCACTTAAAATTTCCAAGGATTCAAGCTTTCTAACTGGAATAAATAAATAAGCCTTTCTTTACAGATAGCTATAAATTAACCCAGCAGCCAGTGCAGCAGGAATGCCCGTTAATCTCTGCTAACTCACCAGAAACGTGGAGTTCCCAGCAGGGAGGAAGCTACATTTCTTCTTTAAGCCCTGTCATCCGAAGACATCTCCTCGGAGCACCGTGGTGACACCAGGCTCCCCGTGCTCCTGCTCTGGGTATGCTGTGAGCTGTGATTCACTCTGCTCCTGAGTCATGTGTGAAGGCCAGTTCAACAGGTGAGGTACACTCCAGCCCCTGAAAAAACACACCTCTTTAGTGGGACCATTTACAGCACGAGGTGAATGACCTTTTGCCAAAGAATGAGCTGTAGCAACTTCCAGTTTGTTTGCTCAAGTTATTGGCATAATCAGTATTAAAAGAGCATGCTGAGTAGAATGACACTCAGTAATAAGTTACCCTTCAGTTAAAATAAATGATAATGTTCACTCTGCTTGGCTCAGTCCTCATTGCATACAGGAAGCATGTCCTGATAAAGCGCATATAATCTCTTTTTTTTCATTTTTTTTTCAATGAATGGCCATTCTAAGGCTGTCAGAGCATCTTACCAGAGTAAACAACTTTGCAAGCAAAGCTTGAAGCACTGGTCAGATTTTGCCATCCCACTTTCACAGGTACTGGTAATGCCTGGCTAAGTCAATAGTCTGCTAAGAGGCTTTGCAGACTGATGTGCTACTTTTTGTGACAGCCACATTGGGAAAGGAGGATTCCTCCCCCCTGAACTACCGTGGATGGAGCTGCACACTGCAAAGCAAGAGAGATGCATCTCATCAATGGGCTTGGGACTCTGGTTAGCTCCAGCTGAACTGCAGATGGTAGGTGTAGTACCCATATGTTTGTCCTGTTCTTGGAGGTTTTCAGCTTGAAATAAAGTGCTCAAGGCCGTGTTTGACAGGGATTGGAGCAATCTGGTCTAGTGGTAGGCGTCCCTGCCCATGGCAAGGGTATTGGAATGAGATGACTTTTATGGTCCCTTCCAACCCAGGCAATTCTATGATTCTATGATCTTTGGCACTGAAGCTTTGTTCAATGTTAATTGTTAATTGTGATCAATCCTTTGAATCCCATTTCACATCCAGAGTTTCCCTGGGCAGCCCCTGTGAGACACTGGCCACGGTGAAGAGGTGACTGTAACATAAGGATGGTGACTGCAAAACCCCAGAAAGTTCCTTTTCATCCCAATTTTCTACATGGCTTGATGTATAAATCTAGGGTCAGGATGCAGGTAGGTGGCTCAGATATGTTTAGGACTCAGCATGATATACATGGAAATAAAACCAGTTCCCCACTGGTTAGAGTTGGCTCTTGTGCCCAGTAATCCTCTCCTTTTCCAGAGAACCACAAACGTGCTCAGCAGTGCTCCTCTCCAGCCAGGGTGTGTTTGATTCTGTGTCTCTCCTGACAACACTGGCACCGGTTAATGTGAGATATCTTTTTACTTCTTGGAGACACTTTCAGCGTCTTTGGCCAGGAAGCAAAGTGGAGATAAGATCTGATTTCTGTTCTGTTTCCTCCTTGGATTTATCTTCACTATTCTTGGGAAGAATTTATCTGACCTTGGTGTTTTAATTTTGCTTATCTTTTTTGATCCCTTCAGTGTCTTTGACCTGAAATGCCTGGTTACAGAATAACTAAACATTCAGGGTTGTAGGTTTTTTTTTTTCTTTCCATGTACAAAAGCAGAGTTCAAATGCAGCAGGAAAGCCAGATTTTTTTATTTTATTTTTGTGAAACAATCAGATAGTTGCTTTCATTCTGAAAAAATTTATATCAAAATAAATCTTCAGTTAAAATTCACGAACACTACGTCAAAGGCATAATAATGAATAACAGCCATAATGTGTTTGAAATGTGCTGTCATAGCAGAGCCAAGGATGAATTACGTGGGAGCAAGTGTACTGGAGGGAATTTAAGTCCACTTCAAAAACTGACTGCAAATGAAACTTTAATCACTTTGTGCATATGTCTGGCAAAAACTCAGCGTGGAGTTACAGCATTTCCAGGAGCCTTAACTGCAGCCAGAAGTGAGAATCCATCTCTGGCTTAAGTCCTGGAGGAACAGCAGGTGAAACTCAACACACGGTGTCAATGACATGTTCAGTGCCTGGATCTGATACCTGGGAATTAACACGGAGCAGCAGCTGGATTCTGGGTACAAACTCACAACTTTTGGGCAATCCGGACATACACGCACATCCCTGGCCTCTCTGAAGTGGTGGTGACAAATCCAGGGCTTCACCCAAGACCTCAGAGAACTGGTATTTGCGGTCACCACACAGGACATCTCCTTCCAGCCTTTCTTCCAGCAGTCGCCCTCACTGCCTCTGGAAACCATGAGTATTTTTCAGCATCTGAGATAAGATGAGGTCAAATTTTTCAGCATCTGAGATAAGGCCTAAAATCACACTCTGTGCTGAACAGTGCTCCCCACATTTGGGGCCTGACAGCCATGAGTGTCTGTAATCATTTAGTTATTGTGCAATGACGAATTGTTCCCTGTTTATGATAAGTCAGACTGTTCATGTTCCCTTCTTTCCAAGCCACCTTCCAACATGAACCATGGTGGGAGCTTTTATCTCTTCTCAAGCACAACCCATTCCTTCATCCTTGCTTGCCTCTTGTTTACATTTTAATTTATTTTTACCATGACCTTTCATTTATGCACTAAGGTGAGGTGACAGAGTTGACGTGTACTGCCTGTGACTAAACCAAGCATTTTCATGGGGCTCCCCAGTCAATAGAGAATTGTAAAGTTTTTTGAGCATTTGGTTTTTGTATACTGATTAGGAAATTACTTCAGTATTTGGTAGCATATTCTCCTTTTCTCAGGGTGCAGGAATGTAAGCACCCCAGTTAGGATGGCCTGACTCTTTTTTTTTCTTTTTACCTGTAGCAGCAATTTTTCATTCTTTTCTCCTTATTACCACCACAGGAGACAATGGCATCTTCAGTGTCTGAGAGAAGAAACCCTAATGATGGGCAAACAGACATGAAAAAGGGAAGGAATAGATACAGTGCTGCTTAGTGCAGCACAAAATCTCACTTTTTTATTGATCCTTCCCTAACGTATCCAACATAAAATTCTGCTATCCATCTTCCAAGTAATTTACATATTTCCACTGGCATATAGGATATTTACAGATTCTCACACTCCATGCTGCAGAAATTCCTAGTGTCAAAGATGGTAGGACAGCCTGTGATTTAGATGTGCACGGAATTTGTGGATGTGATTTACATTAAAAGCTACACAAATAATCCATCTTCCCATGGGGGGAAAGAATGTACTTAGCAGAATGATAAAATATTTCCATACTTACGTTATGGGAGGAGACAGTTCTTTAAGTGGCGATTCTGACCCCATAGTTTACAAGAAAACATTCTTTGAGTTACTGTCACTGCTAAAACGAAGCTGTCCGTGGAGTCAGAGACTGAACTCTGTTTTTCAAATGCTGTCAGAGCCAGATCAGTGGCTTTGGGGTCAACGCCCCTTTCAGTCCCTGACGTTTTTCTGCATTATCTTTGCACTGAGGCAGCATGGACAATTCCATCGACACTGTGGGGCTGGAGCCACTGGCAGCACAGACCCTGAGGGCCGCCCTGATGGCTTCCACCACCCCACACCGAGATCACGGAATTGTTAGGGTTGGAAGGGATCTCTGGAGATCACCCAGTCCAGCCCCCTACCAAGGCAGGGTCATGCGGAGCATGGACACAGCTGGACGTGTCCAGGTGGGTTTGGAACATTTCCAGAGAGGGAGAATCTCACCCTCTCTGGGCAGCTGTCCCTGTGCTCTGCCACCCTCAGCATAAAGATCTTTGTGTCGAAATGGAACTTCTCGTGTTTTAATTTATGGATGCTGCTCCTCATCCTGTTGCTGAGCACACTCAAAAGACCCTTGCACCAGCATCTTAGCACCCTGGGAGATATTTTTATGCATTAATGAGATCCCCTGTCAGTTTTCTCCAGGCTAACCACAATATGAAGGCACTGTGCTCTTGGAGAGTGCCCAAAGGAGGCCACGAGGGTGGGGAAGGGTGTGAAAGGGAAGATGTGTGAGGAGTGGTGAGGGCACTTGCTTTGTCCAGCCTGGAAGAGACGGAGAGAGCTCATTGTGCTCTTCAACATCACACCGAGGGACAGCAGAGGGGCAGACACTGCTCTCTTCCCTCTCGTGACCAGACAGGACAGGAGGGAACGACATAAAGATGAGTCAGGGGAGATTCAGGCTGGACGTCAGGAGGTTTTCAGAGCACGATCGGCCACTGGAAGGGTTTCCCCAAGGAATGGTCACGACCCCAAGCCAGAGCTCAAGAAGCGTTCGGACAACGCTCTGAGGCACTGGATGGGATTATTGTGGTGTCCTGCGCAGGCTATAGGTTGGACTCAATGATCCTTTTGGGTCCCTTCCAACTCAGGTCGCCGATAATTCTACCATTTTATGGCTACGGCGGCGCCGCCTCAGCGCTGAGGGCGGCCCGGCCGCGGGCGGCTCCCGTGCGTCATCGCCGCGCGCGGCGGCGGCCCCGCCATGCGAGCCCGGGTGCTGCGCGCCGCGCGCCAGGCCGTGAGGGCGGCGGGGCCGCCGTGGCGCGTCCTGTTCTTCGGCACCGACCGCTTCGCCGTGACCACCCTGCGAGCCCTGCGCGCCGCCGGGTACCGCCCGGGCACGGGGCAGAGGGGGCAGAGGGGAGACGGGGCCGGGAGAGAGGGGCAGAGGGGACGCGGGAGGCGGGGACGTGAGGGAGGAGCCTGAGGGAGGAGATGGACCCCGAGGGGCGCGGAGCCTGAGGGGACACGGCAGGGTGAGAGAAGGGTGGGCACCGAGGGATGGGAGATGAGGGCTGGTGATGAGGCTCAGAGGTTATTGAGGGATGAGGTGGATCGTGCGGGAGGGACCGTGGGTTGGGCAGGGAGGATGGCAGAGAAGAGAGGGGGAAGGAGCCTGGGCGGGGGACAGGGACCGGGATCGTAGCGACTGAGGGAATTGGCACAGGGACACAGCGAGGGGTGGAGGCGGCCCAGCCCTCGCCTCAGTCTGCCCGCACGACGCCTTCAACAGCTTGTCCACCCCAGGGAGCCCAGCGAGCGCCCGCTCGTGTCCCGGCTGGAGGTGGTGACCCTGCCCTCCCGCCTGCCCAGGGACCTGCCCGTCAGGAGCTGCGCCACGGAGCTCCGGCTGCCCGTGCACGAGTGGCCGCACACGGGACCCGCGGAGCAGTTTGATGTGGGCGTGGTGGCATCTTTTGGACGTCTTCTAAGCGAGGAGCTCATTCTGCAGTTCCCATAGTAAGTGTGTGGACAGGACATTGCTTTGTTAGCAATGCTGCACTCTCGTTTTGGGGCAGCATGTGTGACCTGCAGTAGATGAGGTCAGCTTCCCTAGGTTCATATGTTTAGCCTTATTTCTGTCATGGTGGAATTCAGTGTTCTTTGATACATGGGTGTAAAATTACACAAATGTCCAGCAGAATGTTTGCCTTTATTCCTCACATCTCTTTCTGTGTTCGCTGAGAAACTGAAGTTTATATAGTGTGAATTTTCCTTCAAGTGTATATTTAAGCCAGGAACACATGAGAAGGTATGAGCAGATAGCCATTTCACTGAAATCTGTGTTGCACTCCATTTATGTATGTTTCAGGTACAATTCCTATCCTAACTTGTGAATATTTCATTCCAGTGGCGTGCTGAATGTCCATCCCAGCTGTCTCCCTCGATGGCGTGGTCCTGCACCCATAGTCCACACAGTGCTTCATGGTGATAAGGTGACTGGGGTGACAGTTATGGAAATAAGACCAAAAAGGTAGGTTTGGTGTCCTTTGCAGATGACTCACTGTTGCTGTTGCCTCTCAGGGCTTTAAATAATCACTGCTGAAGTCATCATTTAACTATTCTACATAACCACATTTTTTTAAATGTATGTGGTAATTTTAAAGTTTGAAACACTTTAAAATGTTCATCTAACTATATGAGATTTGCCACAATTACAGTATTTTAATAAGAGTGCAATTTGCACTCCAGGCCTGTTCTCTAATTCTTAGCATTATCGCAGGGAACAGACAGAGAGCAGTCACACAGCTTTATCAATAGGCTTGGTATGACAGGACAGAAAAGATCTGCTTTTCAAACTTCAGAGTCACCTGTAACGTCCTGTATGTGGACAGAAGACAAAAAATTGCCTGACTAGGCATGAGGAAGATGATATGTTTTAGTTTCAGCCCAAGCTCTGGCTTAAAAGGCTTGTGAAAAGACATTATTCTGATTACCTTTTCTTTCTTAGATGATTGCCTAATAATAGATTTCAGGAAAGTGTGAAACTTGAGTATTCAGTTGTTTCTTCTGAGAAACATATATCAGATTGTTTCTTCTGGATCTCATGTTCTGAACTGTAAATTGTATTCATATCATCTCAGCTTGTTGAGGAGAACCTTGGTGCCAAGATTGGTATTGTCTCTCTTGTGTTGTCTTGTGAACCAAACATTTGAAAACGTGAAGTGACATTTGAAAAATAGTTTTAGAGGGAATAAAAAAGGATAATCAGTAAGTGAGCTAATGCATTGAATGCAGACTTTTGAACTGCTAATTCAGCTTCAGCTTGCCCAGTAAGGCTGTGTGTTTTCTGCCTTGCAGGTTTGATGTAGGCCCAATTGTTAAGCAAGAAGAGGTCGCTGTTCCTCCCCGCTGTACGGCACAGGAGCTGGAAGGGATGCTGGCAGAGATGGGTGCGAGCATGGTAAAGTCCTGCCAGCTGTGTCACTTCTGACTGGTACTTTGCTTTTAACATGCAGTTCTGTGCAAGCAGAATTTTGCTAATCTTGTTCTGAGCTGGCTCCGAGTTCAGGAGGAGGATGGTGTGAAACTTGGTGTTTGTGAGCACTTTGCCTTGCTAGGAGGAGAGCTCAGTGGTCTGTGATCAGGCATCAGTGTCCATCCCGTGTGTTGCTGTTGTGTTTCTGTTCAGTGAAAACCCAAATGCTGTTTGTGGAAACAGTGCAGGTTCTTCCTTTTAAATGAATATCTGATTTTTTATTTTAATGGTCAGCTTTTGTTCTTTTCTGGGACTAATATCAGAGACGAGATCATCCATAAAAAATAACTGCATTTTTTTGTTGTGATTCAGTGGGAAGGATATCTTTACTGTCTCTGTGTCAAGGATATGCATTTTCTGAATACACTGAGCCAATTTTCTAAAAGCTCACAGGACAGTTTCACTGTTGAAAAATTACGTTTTACTTTGTTACTGATTAAACTTAACTTGACTAATACTCTGTACAAAATTTAATTTTGCAGCTGTTAGCAGTTTTGAAGAACTTGCCTGAAAGTTTAAAAAATAAAAAAGAGCAGCCAAAAGACGGGGTAACGTTTGGTAGGTACACATTGTTTTTAATGTGACTTGTTCATTTTTTCCTTTATCAGCAGGAAAATTAAAGTTTCCTGCCATGCTGGGTTGTATTTTTTTGGATTAATTTCTCAATATGCTCTCTTTACTGCCTTCTCTGGCTTAAAAAAGTCATACAGGAGAAAAATGCTTCAGATTTCTTCACACTTAGTACATTAATTTTTTTTCCCAGTTACTTGTATAATATCAAAATCACTATTGATGTCACAAGATCTGAGTTTGTTATTCTTCATTGTTGTAATGCAGACAGAAGGGTTAGAACTGTACTTACAAGCATGATACAAGTTTGCAGTGCAGTGGGTAAATAAAGAGAACAGTTGAGAATAAAAAATAATCCAAATTGAGGTTTTTACAAAATCTTTTCTCCAGTTTTTCTCTGAGGTACCTTGGCTGGATCATAGACCCACTATTGGTCAGGAAAAACTGAGGTTTAAAATAGGATAAAGTAGTACAGCTGTTTGCTAAAAGATGCAAAGCAAAGTAAGAAGTCTTCTAATTTCTCTTTTCCCCACAGCTCCTAAAATCTCTATAGCGAAGAGTTGTATAAAATGGGAAGAGCAAACAGCTGCACAAATAATTCAACTGCATCGTGCAATAGGAAGTATGGTGAGACTGGATTTTTTGGAACCCTTTTCTGTCCTATAGCATGGCTGAGTTTGGTGTAGATATTTTAACTAATCACTATACCTCCATTTTGATATTTTAGCCTCTGTAATCTTGCATGTGTTCTAAAATCCTGGTAGTTTGTCATTAGAGGTGGAATAAATGTGCAGGAGAATTTTCATGGACTTGATCCCAAAAAAATTTATATTTTTTTGTTAGCTCTGAGATTTTCCTCAGAGGAGGTTTGGAATGTTACAGTGACATCTCTGCATGGCAGTAAACAGTGCAGACAGCCACAGTGAAGAGCTGTTGTAGCTCATTGCTTAACTAATTTCTGCATAAGCTAATGGTTTGAGTTGAGGAAGGGTAAGGAAAACTAAGTCTGATAAGGAAAATCTCCTATCCAGACATACAGCTAAGTTTTCCCTTAATGTTATTATCACAGGTTTTTTGCCTAAGGAAAAAATAGCCTGGAAATGTGAAAATATTCTGAATGTGTCATCTGTTTCTGTTTTCAGTTTCCTTTGCAGACACTCTGGAAGGGTACTACCATTAAACTCCTGGATTTTGTGGAAGTGGATAATATCGCTGATTTTTCTGGTATTTACTCTTAAATTATTAAAATTTTTAAACAATTTTCTTTAAGAATCTGAGTACCATGTGGGCCAAGGTGTGTGACTGATCAGGGCTTAGTGAGTGTTCATGGATCAGATATGGAGTAGTGCCAGAGAATGACTGTTCTGATTGTTTCTGTTCATTTGGTTATAATAAAACACAGAATACAATAAAATATTTTTCAGCAAAATAGTGACTCGAGATGGTTATCATGCTTCAAAGGAACAGAAGTGGTTCAAACCTTTTCTGTACTTCTTGGCATAAAAATGCAGGATGATCTTTCTTTGCTTTTAGATCAAATACAAAATGGCTGTGAAGTTGTTCCTGGTTCAGTGGTGTTCCATAAAATGTCCCAAGCATTGATAGCTCGCTGCAAGGTAGGCTTTCCCTGTTTATTTTATATTCACTGCCCTAAAGATGAGGTTTTTAGTATTTATGTGGTGTATAACTTTTGTCTTAATTGTCCATTGTTAGTCTCTGTACTAGTTTAGATCAGCATGCACCAGATGTTTTGATACCTTAAACTTTTAATTTCCATTAACAGACTTTGCACATTTGCAAGGAAGAATTCGACTTGTTAGCCTGTTAACATTGAATAAAATGTATTCTGTAAGCCAGCCTATGGGAGCTGAACATAGCTTAAACATGGAAGGAGCTTACTGCCTTTTTTTGTTCGTTTTTGTTTTTAGGAAGGCTGGGTTGGAATCAAAACTGTTGTTTTAAAGAAGAAGCTTACAGCAGTTGACTTCTACAATGGATATATGCACTCTTGGTTCCAGCAGAATCCAAGAACAGTTCATCAGGAATGCAGATTTCAAACACTCAAACTTAGCACGGCAAAAAAGACTCTGAAGGAGAGGGGAATACTGGCACAGGATATAAAGCAATAAATGTATTTTTTAATGTCTGTAAGTTAATAGTAATATAAAATATTTCAAAGCCCACCTATTACATTTAACTTAATTAAGGGATTTCTTCCCATAGTGTTTGATCTTATTGTCATCTACTTGTTTTCATGGTGGGTTCCTGAAGATACTTCTTCTCTTTCCCCATTAAGGGAGAGAATCTCCATGAGTGCTGTAGATATTGAATAAATCCCTGTTCCCACTGCTGAGAAATAAATTTATTTTTATACTGCATTTTCAGGGGTTTTTTTGAGGACTTTGGTGTAATTTTCTTCAGGCATAAGTTTTGGACAATTACTTTAATCTGGAAATACTAAAATCCAGTGAGCTTTTTTTATGCTTACTGACACTTAGACTGTCTAGTTTGATATTCTTGTGGATCCTAAAATTCTCTTTGTATCCCTGCATTGAAGTGACTAATTTAGGTGGGAACATAAGAGCATCTTTCCCTGTCCATCATGATTTTCTTCCTTCTCCTTTGTGTTTTCATGTCCTGAGACATCCCATTTAAAATTTTTGTGCCCTCCATCCAGAAAATTTGTGTTCTACTGTTTCACTTTCTGATGGGAGAGGTTTTTACCTGATGAGGAGTTGTTAATCTAATCCAAGATTTTTCTCAATCTGTCTTTGCTTAATGACATATACAAGGAATATTTCATGTCAAGAACCCCAAAACTTGTGATTTTTACACTTCCTTGTCTTAAAAGAGGTAATGTAACACTAAGCATAACAGCACAGCAAAGACTGGCCATATCTTAGGAGCTGTTCTAATATTTGCTAACTTTTTCTTGCTTTTTATGAGTTCTACTGAAGTAAAAGCAAAAAATTTAGAAAAATGTGTCATATCACAAGGATTAAAATGTTTCTGAAGAAGCATCTGTTAAAGCAGCTGCTGCAGTATTTTTCTTCTACTGCCATTAGACCATCAATTAATTGCCTCTGACAGGTTTTCCAAAACACATGGTCCTCCAAGAAATCCAAGCCTATGAATCAGAGTCAAAAATTGGAAACAACAGCAAGGTGGAAGTCAGGCTCCTGTAGAGAATTCCTGTTGTTCCTGACCGCAGACTCAGTGCACTTTGTGCTGCAGAAATTCTGAATCTGGCAAGTTTGCTTCCAAGAAAATTCTGTCTTTTTGTGTTTTGCTCCCTGCTACCTTTTGCAAGTACAAGTTGTGGAGTTGCTTTGTTTTTATTCTGTTCAGATCAGTCTGGAAATGTTAGTAACTGCTTTATGCCAATAGAACGGTGGGTGGGTCAGTGAGTTTTCTGTGGGTTTGTAGGGGGTAGTGGGTGGTTTGAGAGTTTTCTGGGGCTTGCTACCTCTCTGTATGGCAAAACCCTACCACCACAATTTAGAGATAATCTTGAGCACTAATGATAAAGAGTTTTGGACTTAAGTGTTTTAGTTAACTGGGACTCAACAATTCCAGTGTTTCAGGATCCAACATTTCAGCTGTTCCAGGTCTTTAGGCACTGGAAAATTAGCTCTTGTTCATTATAACCTGAGCAAAATGAACAGTGAAGCATGACTCCCACAGAAAGAATACAGTGACAAAAGTTCAGGCAAAATAGTCCAGGTTAAAGGCTTTTAGATAACCAAACTGTTAAATCAATAGCTTCTTCCTAGCAGTGACATGAGGAAAACTCTTTTAACTCCTTTGTGTATCTCTCATCCTCAGTTTTAGGTCATGTCTGGTGTGAGACCTATTGCTGGCAGACAATAATCTGGCTCTCAGTAAAGCATAAAGCAACAGGAAGAGTTTGCCTGTGTTTTTGGGAAGCTCGAGGTGGCATGTGCCCAGAATCCCTGTAGATGGAGCTCGCTGCATCCCTTTTGGGTGAAAACCAAGGACAGCTGGACAGAAGATGGTGAAAATCTGGTACAGAACGCCTTCAGTTAGTTGTTTAATAGTGAATAATGTCTAAACCATATTTCAGCCAGGATCCCATGTACTTGTAACTTAATCTTTTGATCTGTGCAGAGTTTGCTATAAGCCTTCTTTTGCTTTCTGTGTGAGAGGTTATAAAAGATTAGACCATTCTGAGTTGTGTAATGTCCTAGCTCTGAATATGCACAACTTTACCCAACTCATTTTATGGAGCAAAAGAAGGTAAGATGAATTTATTTTTTTATGGAGAAAGTCTTTGGCATGCTATTTTTGGCATGGTAGAGAAGTTTTAAATGGAATTGGTGTTCCCCAGGCAGCTGTTAGCCAAAATGTCTCTTTGGAAACTTTGCTTTCACCTGGCTCTGCAGGGATTTAACTCAGTAAGTAATGAAAATCTGATTGTTTTTGCAGAACAGACAAAACAAAAATGGGGCATTCACTGATGAAGTGTGGAATAGCATGTCAGGGTTGACTCTGGAGCACAGACACAGTGATTTGATCCCCAGTACCACTGATGAGGTTGAGTACAGCTACCCTGGCCATTGGAACGGGATCTTAGTGAAAAAAAACAGTTGTCCTCCTCTCAGAGGAGAGAGGGAAAGCAACAGAGGTATTCACAGACCCAATGTCCACTATGGCTCAGTTTAACGTCACTGGGACCAAATTACTGGCAGAACTGCAACGTATTTGGGCACCAGAAGGGCTCTGGTGTTGGATAGGGATGATTTCATCATGGATTTCAAATAAATGTTAGTAGAGAGAGTGATATTTCCTAGGGTGCTGGTGACTCACAATTAGATGCATCTGTTTCATGTTCCGCAACCTTACTACTCCCCCTCCTTCCTAGGAAACCTCTTCATTCCTGTTTTCTGAATACATTACAAATAAATAAAAAGTATAAGTGACTAATCAGAGAAGTACTTGAGCCTTTTTATAAAGTTGTTTGCAAAATCCCCCAATAATTTGCTGGTTGAGGCCAGACAAGAATATCTCTCCTTTTGTTTATCCTATCTGCTGGTGTCCTGATAGCTTCTGGGAAGCAATAGTTTCTTTCAAAAACAGGAGGGATAGGTCACTGGATTTATCTGTGGATTGGAAACAAAGTGACCTTAATGGGAGATGCTTTGCCATTAGCCACAAACCTGCCGATGTTTAGGAGCCAGGTCTCCTTCTTCAGCCTGTTCCTCGAGGTTGGTGGTCCAAAGGCTAAGGCCAAGGGAGGAGCTGAGTCCCAGCCTTCCTGCATTCCTGCAGCTGATGCTCTCTGATCTGTGGGAGTGTGTGTTGGGTCTCAGGCTGCAGAAAGGACACTGCCATACACCGACCATAAACAAGCTGGAGGGGTCAGAACTGACATTGAACTGTAACATAAAATTTGTGTGAGTAGCAGATGCCAGGACCCTGCTGTAGCTTTGCTCCTATATAAACTTTTCTTCATGTATTTGGGATGGTGGCTCATCAGTAATGGTGAAGTGTTAGCACTGAGTGGTGGTTATGTCATGGCTGTTTTCTGTTGGTAGTGCTTAAGCACCCGTGTTTGAAACCTCTGTCTTGCTTTGCGTCCAGCACAGTCTGCCAGAAGCCTCCTGGGAGAGCTCAGGGACTCAGTGAGTGCACAGATTAGTTTGTTCCTCCAAGCCAGTGCTAAGCTGCAGAGGGGGACAGTTTGGGGAAACTTGGAGAGCTTCTGGCTGTTCCAGGCTGTAGGGCCGTGACTGTTTCAGGGCTGTTAAACACACATTTCTCCCCAGAAGGAAGAGCTCTGTAGTCTGCTGTGTTTGACTGGCAAGCCCACATGCAGCACAGGGATCAGATACTGAGCCTGCTTTCATCCATTTATCTCCTGGGTTTGTCTGTAGAAGTCATTTGTGTTACTTCACTCTCAAAGTGATGAAACTAAGTTTGGGATTTGGCTGTCTGTCTGCAGAGGAGGAGGGGAGCAGAGGGAAGAGACATTTCTCTGCACAAGCCAAGAGCTCTGTGGGAAGGTCCAAGCTAATGCTCCCCACTGGCTGCCTTGGCTCCAGCTCCTGCCAAGCCCTTGCAGCAGACTAGACACAAAAGAAAACACTCTGAGTCTAAATTCATTGGTATGAAGAGGATGTGCCAGAGTATTCCACAGCTCTTCCTTTTCTGCTTTTCTTTGACAACTGTCAATTTGCATTAAAAAGTGTATTATTAAAGGGGTTTTTTACCTGTTAAGGCACAATTCAGCCTGCCGTGTGTCAGACCTGAGAACAAGTTTGGTGAACACTACTGAAAGATTCCCAATGCCCTTGATGGGCAGTGGGTATGGCAGCTTAGGCCTAGAACTGCCTTCATATCCATAGGAGGGGATTAGGTAGGAGAGGGAAATCCGTGTTGGAGCATGTGTTTGAATTTCAGTTTGCAGCCAATTGCACTGCCCACCTTTTTATGATCTCTCTTGGTGGGAGTTTTGGTGTCAGAGACTTGCTGATTTGTCTGCACCCCAAAAGTTCATTGTCCTGTAAACATGAGATGTCTTCTGTGCTGTGAGGTCTTTGATTTTACTCTAGGAAGGGTGGGGGATTGAAAGGACAATTTAATAGGGCACTTGGAGAGGGATCACTGACCCCTTCTGTGGCCAGCTGTACCTTCAGCTAAGAGCAGCTTCCTGCCAGCTCCTTATGCTCACTGCTGCTGAGTGTGGAGGGAAGCCCATCTTCTCCCGATCTCCACCCAGCACTGCTCTGCATTATCTGGTTTCCTATCATCCTTAAAACACAAATTCCCAGCCCTCCTTTCCCTCTGTCTTGTGCCACTCCTTAATTCATCCTTGCCCAGACCTGCTGCTCTGATTCTCCCAGAACCATTGCTGACTCTCCACTTGTCAAGCTGGGGAGAGATTCCCTGACTGCAGCATGCCACGGCCAAACCCTGGAGCTGCAGGAGAACCAGGCATCCACAAAACCCCTCACCTATATCCAGGATCAGCCTCACACTGATAAAGTCATGGCCTGTTTGTGAACAGAAAGATGAAATCCTGCAGGTTATTCTTTGTTCAGTGCTACATGTGGTTTATTTACTTGGGCATTTCAAACAAAACAGTGACACACATTGTCAAAGTTACAAAATTACTTTTTTTATTAACCTACCCTATCATAGAGCATAGATTTTCTTGTCAAATAATGCAAGAAGCAAGAGAAAACTTTAGCTGTATCTATGTGGAGCTTACAAATCCACATGGCTTCTCTGTGCTATTGAGCATGTGAGTTCTTAAAAATGCAGCTGCCAGTAGTTTAGCTTGAATACAGTAATTCTAAAACAAGCTAGAAATAAATAAAATACTTACATTTCAAGTACGAAACCTTGCAGTTGAATTCAGTATGAGGAAATCTGTTTATTCCTTTTCATGTTACCAACTACTGTTCAGGTACTTGGGCTGGCAAAGTCTGCAGATGCAGAACAGAAGAATGTTTTATGTCCATCACTTAATTGAATCATGTGTTTAGTCTTCCCTTTAGGCTATCATGTGAAGCTGTTTAATGTCACGCGGAAAGAAGATTTTTATGGATGCATTTAATAAGACACAAACTCACTACCTCTGCTGGCCCCCAATGCTCACGTCTTTTCTTTCTGGTGGGGGAAAAAAAATGGCACCTTAATTATGTCTCATAAATAATGACACCTACCAGCTTTCAATTACATTAGCAGGTTGATGTTACTTTCAAATTATATTAATTGAGCGTGAGTGACTTTACCAATGCTCCTATACAGTTCTAGTAGGTGGGACGTTGACCTGTCATCGGGATCCTGGCTTGGTTGTTACGGCGGCTTGCCGGCGGCCTCTGGTACACAGGGCTTTGCCCTGGCAGAACCAGGATGGACTGCTGGCCCGAGTCCCTCGGAGGCTGCTGGCTCCAGTCCCTCGGCGACTGCTGGCTCCAGTCCCTCGGCGACTGCTGGCTCCAGTCTCTTGGAGACTGCTGGCTTGGGTCTCTCGGAGTCTGCCGGCCCGGGTCCCTTGGAGTCTGCCGGCCCGGGTCCCTCGGAGGCTGCCGGCCCGGGTCCCTCGGAGGCTGCCGGCCCGGGTCCCTCGGAGGCTGCCGGCCCGGGTCCCTCGGAGGCTGCCGGCCCGGGTCCCTCGGAGGCTGCCGGCCCGGGTCCCTTGGAGACTGCTGGCCCAAGTTCCTCTGAGACTGGAAGATGCTTTGCTCTGTCGTGCTCCTCTCTGAACAGGTGAAAGTCAACCCAACGCCGACATCGCTCTTCATGATTCTGGATGTGCCATCAGATGTGCCATCGAAACATCTGCCCAGGGCGATTTCCTTGGCTATCCTTGGGTCTTGATCAGTGACTGTGTAGATGCCGTAGTTGTGTCCCAGCGGGTCAAGAGGTGCCAGCATTCTGGCTTGGGTCTCTCGGAGACTGCTGGCTCGGGTCTCTTGGAGTCTGCCGGCCCGGGTCCCTCGGAGGCTGCCGGCCCGGGTCCCTCGGAGGCTGCCGGCCCGGGTCCCTCGGAGGCTGCCGGCCCGGGTCCCTTGGAGACTGCTGGCCCAAGTTCCTCTGAGACTGGAAGATGCTTTGCTCTGTCGTGCTCCTCTCTGAACAGGTGAAAGTCAACCCAACGCCGACATCGCTCTTCATGATTCTGGATGTGCCATCAGATGTGCCATCGAAACATCTGCCCAGGGCGATTTCCTTGGCTATCCTTGGGTCTTGATCAGTGACTGTGTAGATGCCGTAGTTGTGTCCCAGCGGGTCAAGAGGTGCCAGCATTGTGTACTCGCTGGTGTCGTTGTTGGTGGCCATGGGGAGGTGGTTCACCAGGTACTCGTGGAGCATGCTGTTGACGCTCACGCGACGGCAGTTGCCTTGTGGGATCACTTTGACGAGCGTGCGGTCCACACGGTCCTGGTCGAAGAGCATTCCGCTGCACTTGAACTCCAGGCAGGCTGCCGACACGTCCCGCTGCTGGGGGTCACGGATGCTGCGCACATCCCGGATGCCGTAGAGCTTGCCGATGGTGCGTGGGTGTGTCCCACCCATGTTACGAGATCTTACATTCACTTCTTGGGGTCCGTTTATTTTTACTTTAATGTAGCAGGCTCTAAATTCCATGGGCTTGGGCCACCATGCCAGGTAGTCATCGGTCCAGCTCATGAGGTCATCTTCACTGAAAGGAACAGTGTTGTAGTCATACCGGTCTCCTTCTATCCTGTAAAACCTGAAGTGAGCAGCACTGTGTGGAGCTTCCTCGCATTCACTGAGGTTTTCATAGGCATAAATAGGGCCATTGTTCTCTTCTGGGGAGTTAGGGCTTGGCTTGGCCATGTTAATGCTGAATGCTGTTTTCTTGATGTTGGAGTCCTCGTGGTCTGTCCTCCTGTAGTTCAGCTTGTTGAGGTATGGCTGTGGGACCCCAATAGCAACAGGGTTGAGTTTGGGAGCAGAGGGCACAGCTTCGAGCTCTTCACCCCCCATGCTTGCCAAGATATAAGCTCCGTAGGCTTCGGGGTTTTGCTCATCACAGAAGGCGGGCACACAGGCACCGTTGGGACCAGTGACTACACTGTCAAAACGGCCCCATGCTCTGGGGTTGGAGGAGAACCCTGGTTCTGGCTCCATGTTTATAATAGAAATCACAACCCCTTGGATCTGCTCACTTTGCAGAAATCGCTCGCTTCTGTAGGCTCGGACTTTGACGTAGCACCGTCTGCTCTCAGGGACATCCAGGTTAAAAAGACGCCTCTCTTTGATCTCCATGTTCCCAACCAAAAAGGTTCTCTCCTCCCTTTTGTGCCGTGTGCTTTTCTCGAGGTTAAAGTCCCCTTCTTCCTCCCATAACCCTGTCTCTGGGTTCAGGGACCAAAGCTTCATCTCTTGCACATGTTCTGGCATCTTGACCTGAGCAGCATCCAAATGAACCTTCACCTTTTCTGCATTGAGGGACTCGCTGCCCTCTTCATCTGTGAAGTCCACAGAAAACATACCGTACGTACGGAGTGGAAATACGTCTCCTTCCTCGTCTACAAAGTTCAGGTCACTTTGTGTCACAGGGGCTGTGGAGATGTTTCTTGGGTCCAGAAATGTCACGCTGGCTTTCACTTTGCCACTGTAGACCTCTCCATTTTTTCTATAAAATGCATTGGGAGGAATTTCTAATTCAGCAATTGGATCATCTTCTTCCATTTCCCCCAGAGAAATCACATTAGTTTCCGTGGATTCCAGTGTAACAGGGGCTTTCTTTCTCAGTAGCTTGATCTCATGAAATACAGCACCTCCATTTTCCTTGAAGGGCAGAACTTTTGTTGTGTTCACAAACTTCTGCAGCCGATCCACGAAAGTTAGAACCAGTCTCTCCATATCTGCTGGGACGTGGATGGAGAAGGTTCCCTTGTAGCCAGTCATACTCACTCTCTTGTTCCCCATGTAGATGTGGCCAAACCTCAGTGGCTCACCATTATCTGCTGCTGTGGCTCTGCCTCGAACCATTATTTTGGTCTCTGTGCATATTTTGCAACCACATTCGACAATGACTTTAGTGGGGAGCGTGTAGCCATCGCAGGAGATGTCCCTGGTTTCCATCTTGGACACCCCACAGCAGTAGGAGACATTGTCCTTACACCGAAGTCCCTTATCCAGCTTCCCTACACAGGTCTTTGCTGGGCACTTGCCCACGTCGTAATAGAAGGAGTTTGTTGCTTTTTGGAAGCAATCGTGAGGAAGTCGGATGAGGTGGCTTTGGGGCTGGGAGTCACAGGCTGCCTCTTGTCTTCCTGTTGAATAGGATTTCTTAATGAGCAGCATGAAATAATTGTACAGTTATTGCTATGTTGTCTGAAACCTCAGCTAAACATTGCTCCTAAAAGCAGGGAGGTTTTTACAGGATTTTGGTGAGCTGGTTAACTCATTTCAGTGAAGCAAGTAGTTCAGCTTTAGCTTTAGGACCCTGATTAAGAGCTGTTTGCAGGATCCTTCCCATTGCTGTTTATCCACTATGGTCATCCAGCCCAACCTCAGATAGATGCTCTGCTGCTGCCTGGCTTTTTGACTATGGCAAGACTAGAATATGTCCCAAGACTTTAAAAACAACCCTAAAGAAGCAGAAATATTCCCATGTCAGGCAGCAAGTTCAGTGAGAAATCTCCTGACAGCAGCAGGTTGAGGTTGATAGGCCACCTGCAGTCCAGAGCTCGTTTGTAGGGAGCGTCTGGTTCATAACCAGCTCACTAAAGCTTGTCTGCCAACAGATGAATGACATAAACCTCAAGAATTTTTCCTGTGACTTTTCTTTACCAGATGTATAACAGTTTCTGGTTCCTGCACACCAACACCTCCCCAGCTGCTCGGAGAACATCAGGCACATTTTCTCTTACCTATGACAGCCAGCTTGGCAACTTGGGACTTTGCTGACCCCCCGGCACTGCTGGCCTTGCAGAAATACTCTCCTGACTGTTCTCTCTTCAGGTTCTTCAGAATCAGGTTGTTTTTATATTTGTACAAGGAGGGATCCAGCAGTGAGCCATTGTGGTACCTGCCAGGAACAGTTAAGGGACAGAGACTGACCATCTGGCTGGAGCACAGCAATGGCCTAATCCTGAATCCTGCGATGTGGATTTTGCCAGATTTCCTGCCTCAGTTTCCCTGAGGTTTTAGTTTGGCTAGGTGGCATCACCTAAAAATTTTTCCCCTACTAGTGGCAGTACTGTGATGTGGCTGCTGGACAGCTGGCAGGGAGGCAGAGCTGCCAGTTGTGTCTGATGAGGTTTTTAAACTCCTTGTGTATTTTTCCAGTGAATTCCTCAGCAGATGACATTGCTGTGCCATCTTGAGGAAGCCATCACTTTCAGCCATCAGTTCTCAGCACATTTAACTGTTTTATAACTAAACCCCCCAATTTATGGAGATGGTAAGGAGATAAAACTGGCATCCATGGGACAGCTAAGACTTCTGCAGATCAAATTCAAGCTCCTTACCAGAGGTAGCGGTCAGGAGCTGGGCTCCCTCGGGCATCACAGCAGAGTGACACGCTCTGTCCCACTCTCCTGGCTTTGTCCTCAGGGCTCCTGAAAACATAGGGTTTGCCTGCAGGAGAAGGAAAATGCCATCCCATTACTCTTCCTCTCATAAAACCACAGTTTATTTCTGAATAAAGCTTCCTGCATCCCCCTCTTTGGGGCTACCTGATCGGTGCAGCTGCACTTGGATTGCCAGGTTTCTCCGGTTGCTCTCAGGCACGGTGACAGTTGCTGTTGCATATTTTGCTTTCTTTATTTTAAGGGTGTTTTTCCCATCAGGACAAACCCCTGGGATCATAAACATGCCTCTGTTATCAGCCATTGTCAACAGCTTGAGTTTCTTGGCTTGCAGGTAGACCCGGGCATCGGCAGCAGGTGACCCATCCTCGAGAGACACCTTCCCATGCAGGGTGGCATCCTCACACATGCAAGTGTCACAGTCAGCATTGACATGGCCCATGGGGCAGGTGATGTTGCAGGCTAGAGGAGAAGCAGACAGGTCAAAAATAGCCCCAAGTCCCCACAACTCTCACAGCATGTTCTTGCATCTGCTTTTCATTTAGATGCAATAAGGCAAATACTACATAAGGAGTAAATTGTATCCAAAACATATTTTTCCTGATTACCCACAGCTGTGCATTAGAAAGGCGGGGACGATGTCATTTTGAACCTGACAATTAGTAGAAAGCAGCCACGTGGATATAATTACAGCTAGGAACTGTTATTTACCTTCCCCAAAGGGCTGAATTTCAGGGGAATTTGAATCCAGATCAACATGTGAGCTCTTAGCTCAACCCTGGCAAGATTGCAAATTCAATGTCATAAACTTTCTAGGTTTCTGTTACCACTGCACACCCAGAAGTTGTGATTTTGGTCTATCCCAAAAGCTGTCTTCCCTTATTCAATGGTATCCTGACTTGGGCAGGATGTGGGGTAATTGCCAAGTGAGCATTACCCAATGGGTTTAACATTTGGGCTCACAAGTATTATTCTGTTCTCATTTACCCATAGTGATTAATCCTAAATAATAATCTGTCTTTTCTCAAGGCTCGGGTCATTCCTTTTACAATCACAGAGCATCCCTGTACAGGAACTATCTGATATTTCAAAGATGAAAATAAATGTAAGAAATCAGGGAAAACCTAAAACAACTTTTCTGCACAAAACATATTTTCAGAATTATTTGGTTAAAAGGGGATTATAAGAATAATTTAACTATTACAAGCCCCTTCAGCAGGGACTATGACAACTTGATATTCCCAAGTCATCTCTTTCCTGGAGGTTTTATGGAGACAGATGTCTGCAGTCACTGACTCTACCTTGAGTGCTGCTGTTATAAAAAGATTAATGAGATTTTTTTCTATATCCCCAAGATATTGTGAATCCCTGTTATCTTTCTATTTGGCTATAAAGTCTCCCTGCTCTGCTCTTTATACTCTCCAACCCTGCTCGGAAATCACTAAATTCTGTCAAAGGAGAGAAAGATGGTAAAAGGACAGCAAAGGGAGTTCAACACCTGAGAGAAAGATGGTAAAATGACAGCAAAGGGAGTTCAACACCTGGGCAGTGCTGGGACCATGACATCCTCCCCTGCCCATAATGAGTTTATAGGAGCACCTGAGCAAACATGTCCAATGCAGAGCCGCCCTTCCTCGGTTGCTTCGTTGCAGTGCACGCCCCAGAGGGGCTCAGCTAGGCAGGATCTGGTACGCTTCTGCACCCCGGTTTGGCCACACTTTGCTGAGCACTCGCTCCATTTCGACCATGGAGACAAAAACCTTTTTGAATCCTGCACCAGTGGACCTTGAATAACATCAGTGGTGTGTTACTGAGACGCACATTACACACACAGCTGCCCAAAAATGGGCAGTGGGGTTTTAGCAACTTCTATAGAGCTCAGACTATGAATATTACATACCACATGGATTAAACAAACTCAAAGCATGTTCAGGGAGCTGGGAATTAAAGCATGAGAAGGCGTCTGAAGGCTTCTGACTTAATTCCCCGCAGGCTACCAAACTCAGGATGATTAAGATAAACCCAAGGGGAGCAAAGTGCAGGCAGCTCGTGCTTAGTGTTGAATAACTTTGGCTTAAGGAAATCAAACACACGTTCTCATTTAAATGTTGTTTGAGGGGCAACACTTGTCTGTTTCAAATGTGGTTAAATATTTAAATAAAAGGTAAGGTGGTTAAATAGTTTAAAAAAGGGTAAAATTGTTGGTATGATCATGTTGAATGTCTTTAACCAAATTACAACATATGTTTTCTATAGGGGCAGCGTGTGTCCTATTGTGAGCACCACTTTTACTGAGTGCAAACCAGAAGCTTAAGATGCTACCGAGCAGGCTGAACATGTCAGGAGCCAGCTGATTGGTAAAACAGAAAATTTGCAAAACACATTGGGAGTTTAATATGAGGTTATATTTTTAAAGGAATTTGTTTAAGCAGGCTACTAGATGTTATTAATTTAAGCTACTTTGAATGGATGAGATCCAGTCCAAGTCTGTGGTTTGGGCTTTTATAAAACTGACAGTGTTCTAATAATGTTTATGAGGATGCACTAGTGACTAAAGTTTCTAAAAATGAAGTTTCTTGGAGATGTGTGCTATGTCATCTCCCATACCTATTCTTCCACCCAATTTGTAATAGAGCAGGTTGATTTGTTTCCTAGAAAGGCAGACAGGCACAGGGCTGGACTGTTCAAATTGTGGCTGAAAACAATTCTGGCTTATAAAAGCAGGTGGGTGGAAAAGACCCTTTAAATGAGAGCAGATATGGGAGTGTCATGTCTGGCTTGGAGCGAGCACTTGGCTTAACTGGGCAGGGTTTTAATCTGTTGGCATGTTAGTATCTCTAGTTCAGCATCCCAAGTAGTGGGATGCATGACTTATTATTTAGCAATTTGAGGCATGCAGGAGGAGGTGGGCTTGTGGACGAGGTCACATCCTGTGGATAAATGCCTATTTGTGCTTGCCCCAAGCAAAAGCTGAATGTGCAACAGATTAAAGTGGGATCTCAGCAAGATCCTAAACTTGTTTGGGATCAGCTGCTTTAATCTGCAGGGCTGGTGATGATAGGAAATGTACAGGGGAATCCTGTGGAGGAAAATGGCATTATATGACTCTAGGTAGCGTTTTGACAGCAGAAAAAGCAGAATGTGGAGGATGAGGGAGAAGCTGAGGGACGGAGCATTGGTGGGGACATGGGAGGGACAGGGCTGCCCCGTGGCAGGAACGTACTGCGTCTGACGTAGGTGAAGGTTGGGTCTCCCCGGCGAGAGCTGCTCCTCGTACCTGTGGGCAGAGGGGTGATTCAGGCAGGGTTTGCCAGCCAGGGAGCCAGCCCCACTGCTTTGTGCCATCTACTTTCAGGGGGAAACTATTTTACTGGTGGTTTTCAAAAAAATACCTCTCAGCAAGTGGAGGGGACTTCTCAGTGTCCTTGGTTTTGGTGCTTTGATTCTTCCCAGTGGCTAAGAGAGCTGCTGGGAGCTGGGCAAAAGGCTGGGAAAATCCCCAAATCCTTCAGCATGGCCAGCCCTTTCAGTGCCTGCTGGAATTTAAATTCAGAGCCCTGGACAGTAAAGATGAGAGGTCGGGGCATCTCCCAGGGATTAATGAGCAGAGTGGGCTCTGCAGGTTAATTAATTCCCCACAGGCTTTAATTCTGAAGGAATGGTGTCACAAGCTGCCCAGGGTGTGGGGACAGGCTGGGCAGGGTAAAGGCAGGTCAGAGCATGTGCTGGCCCATCCCTGGGCTCTTCTCACCCTCCCAGCCTGCGCGTGCCTCCCACAGGAGCTGGGGCTGTGGTCACACGTTGACCTTCCCTTTTCCAGGAGAGGAGCCAACAGCATGTGTCAGTGATAGCCAAAACCCTACAGGAGCTCGTGGATGATTAACATTTATTCCATTGCCTAAATCATAGAATCATAGAATGATTCTAACCCTAAATGTCCTCTTCTACTCAAATAATACTGGTTAGTTGTAAATTATTGGGAAAATTGTCCAGCGAGGAAAATCCACCCAAGGTGGGAATTAACTTACTCTCCAAGCTGAGCATTACCAGCGGGCTGAAGGTTCTCTGTCCTATCTGGACCCTGCTGAGGGCTGGTTTCAGAATCCTTTGTCCTAAGGGTAAATAAATGAAAAAAATAAATTAAATTCAAGGAATTGGGCATCCTTAGGCTCAATATTACATCTTTCCCATTGGACTGTGGCTGGTGAGAGCTCCTGTAGGATGCAGTGCAGGAGGTGCCAAGAGAGGGACATAATGGATATGTCCCACGGCATCACTGCAGCTCAGGTATGATACAAATTTTCTATTTCCCTAATCACCCAAGAAAAACTTTTTTGTGCTTCATGTGTTGGAGCAGCTCAGATCAACTAATCTTTTTATAGCTGGGAGAGATAAAATCTCCTTCCTGTCCATGCAGAAGGAAAAATTAATCCAAAGTGGCTCATATTGGTTGTTTTTATGGGACAAGAGCTGGTTTCTGAACTTGCTGGCCACCTGCATGCCTGAGGGGAGCTGATGGCCATGGCTGGTTCCTGGGGTGCTTGCTGGGAACAGTCCCATATAAACTGGGGAGCTAAGCCCCAGCACCAGCTCTCCCCTGTGCCCAGCTCTGCCCCTGGGCTCCTCTGGGTACAGACTGGACACTATGGGATCTCAGAGAAAGCAGACAGGGATGGTCTTAGCGTGACCAGCGGGCCGGGGAGCTCATCCCTGGTCAGCCAGAGGCTCACTGACTCGCAGACAGGCTTTGCTCAAACTCTGGGGGCTGGATGGGAGCCAGTCCTTGTGTGGAAGTTGTGTGGCCGGGCCAGTGCCGCAGTGACCCAGAGCAGTCCCAGCGTCGATGTCGGGCTGCTCTGCTGGCTCAGCGGCTGCCAGCAGACGTGCCTGCACTGGCCTGGGCAGGGGACAGCACAGTGACCAGAATGGAAACGTTTAACCTTCACCTAAAACAGACGTGGCTCCCCAGAGGAGGAGGAGGATCCAGCCTTTCATGGTGACCATCGCTGTCTCCAGAGGTGACCAGGGGATTCCTGGAGTTTCCGCAGCCGTCCCACGCCTTCCCCAGTCCTGCAGAGACAAGCCCGACCGTGTCAAAGCTCACCCAGGTCTGGCTGCTTTTGGGAGCTTCTCCCAGGCTGAACCACTCCAAAACATGCCACAGGGGCACTTACACCCCCTGTTCACCCACCCCCAGCAGCTCTTCATTTATCTCCCCAGTGGGGAGCAGCAAGGGCTCCACATCTGTGCTCCCACCCCCCCTGCTTCTCACCATCACATCTGAGCCCAAATCTATTTTGCAGAGCACTGCTTTGTAACAGCATCTCCTTAACATGCCTAGGAACAGCTTAAATACTTCTGCAGGGATCTCTCACAGCCCACGCAGCTCTGCAGGCCCCCCAGCATCCAGATCTGCTCCCCACAGGAGCAGGGACAGCCCCATGCCTCCATCCCTCTGCCTGCAAACTGGGCAGAGTGTGAGGATAGCATCTTATCCCAGTACATCCCAGAGTGTGAGGAGAGGGAAGGCATCTGAGCACCTCTGAAAGCAGAAAAACCCATGCACTAGCCAAGTCTTTCCTGCAAATGCAGCAAGAAGCTCAATATTTTCCTTTTCCCACAGGCACAGATGTGGGACTGAGGCTTTGTGTCACTCTTCACCAGCTCAGCCGCTTCAGATTTTATTTTCAGTGAGTCCCTTTGCCCTACAGCATGAAGCATTTGGGTATTTAATTTCTGAAAGTACCTGTGGAGCTGGTGTTATCCCTGGTGACACCAGGTGGAATTTCAGGTGCTTTATTTTATGCACCCAAAATTAATGAACTGGGAGGAGGGAAGAATATTGCCCCAGCCATTTGGTGCCTCAGTTTACCCATAAAATGGGGCTGACAAAGAGCAGTCATTGGTGAGAGCATTCTTATTTGTAAGTGGTACTAACCATCCCCTCTGAGACCAGGGAATGTGGGACTAGGAAATACTTTGATTATGGCTCAGCAAATCCCAGTCAAGCAAAAATAACAAGCAACACATGAGCGGTGTTTTGTGGGCTTACGGTGGGGTCGTGAACTCGCAGCCAGACAATAACCAGGAAAAAATTAATCCTGTTTCCCACTTGGCAACTATTTTTGGAGCTGACTGCAACTGGTTCAGCACTGGGTTTGGGATTGGGATACATCCCTCTGTACCCAGACAGGCGATGGTACAAAGGGGGGCTCAAGCGGCCGGGTTTTGGCAGCAGGAGGGTTTGGAGCTGTGTCCCCTGTCTGGCAGGGGGCTGTGCGAGCCGGGACGGAGCCGCGGGAGATGAAACAGCCCCACGGGAGCAAAGCCCCCCAGACCCCCGCTCCAGCTCTAACCCTTCCCCAAGCCCATCAGCTGGGAGGAGGAAGGGAGAAGCGGAACTGCATCCCCCTCGATGTTTTCAGCCTCTGTGCCGTCATCTGCCCGTTAATTAATTTCCACCTCACCTTTAATCACAGCCACTCTTAATTACGCCGCCTTAGCACAACAGAATTCTATAACCACTATCTGTCACAGAAGGGAAAACAGCAGGATTGGGGTTTTTTTTCTCTTACCTAAAAAGCCATAAAAACCCCACTTAAGGAGAATCCCGTCTTCTCGCCACAGAGCCGCCAGCCGAGCTGAGATCCGCGGGCGAGACGAGGGCTTGTCAGCTGCGTGTTCAGGGATTTGCAGCCGGCTGGGGAGAGAGCTGCAGCTTACCGAACCTCCCCTGCGCCGAGCGGAGCCGGGCTGTGTGCGAGCCTCCCGCCGCCGAGGCTGCGAGGTCGCTTATATAGCCCGGCGTGTAGCTTAGGGGATGGCAGCGAGCCACCGGCCGCGAGCACAAACAGATCGGACCGCGAGGAAACCGCAGCCTGAATAATCCCTTAATAAGGTGATGGTAAACAGAAACCTGCGGCGATGCCACGGCGTGGCAGCCGCTGCCGGTGGGACAGGGTATGGTGTGGGTACCACGTCCTGGTGTGGGCACCGCATCCCAGCACAGCACCGTCACTGTTAGGGGCTCACTCGGGGTCTGGGTCTGAAATAGATGCTGCTAAGTGTTGGAGGTGGAGATACAGTGAACAGGCAATGAGTTTTGGGGATGCTTTTTTGGCTTTACCCGGTCTGGGACACATATGGTGCCCACCCAGCAGTGCACGTGGATTTGCCCCATTTTGCAGGTGTGGGCTCAGCTGGGCACCACCATTCCCTGCATTGCCTGCCTACCTCTGCCCCTGTGCTGGCTCTGCCAGGGATCAAATGAGGATGCTGTGGGGATGTGAGGATGTGGGACAAAGCTAGTGGGACTGGTTTGAACACCCAGGGTAGCACAGAGTTGCAGAGGCAGGACCATCCTTGTAAATGAATGTGACTGCATCTCAAGCCGTGGGGAGATCTAACAATGACCCCTAACCAGAGTTTCCTGCTTGCCCCAGTCTGGCTTCAGCCTTCCAGGCTTTTCATCCCTTTGCAGTCACATTTTTCTCATGTAACTTGTGGCAAGTGGTCTGTGGACACAGGGCTCCTGGGTGTTGACAAAGCACATGGCCTTGTGCAAGTGACTGCCACACATGCATGCAGCCCTGGAGCCACTGGACTGTGCAGATGGTTGCTGCAGGAATGTGGTGTGAAAGCAGGTGCTCTTTGTGTCAGGAGCAACCCCCAAAAGATGGGGATGGGTGTTGGGGCAGCCAGTGGAGGTCAGTGGTGTCCCAAGCTGCTTCCTAGTAATCCTTGTCAGCCCTGCTGCCAGAGGGAGTGGTGCAGGAGGAACACAGATCAAGATGTCACATAAAAAATAATCAGCAGTGACCTACACTGGCTCCTGTTTATGTTTACAAGGGAAAAGGAAAAAACACCTGAGATGTGCCAAAAATGGCAGAATGTTTATATGGTGGACAGAGAGTGCCCAGTGAGCTGGAAGCTGCAGACCTCTGACATAAACATGAAGATCATCTATGTTTCCCCTCTGTGATGAGGACAAGATGTGGGAAAGGTGCTGAGGCAGGGAGCAAGGAATTCATCTTCCCTAGATGGAACCTACCTCCCAACACATCTGACCCACACTAAGCACAGCACCAATGCCTTGGCAAGACATCTCCAGTCCCACCAGCTGCTTGTCCACATCCTGGCATCAATTTCTATGGCTCGCACTGCTGGGTAAGGAAATGTGCTGTCTGCAAAAGGAATAAAATGCTATTCCTTACATTATGGAAATGGGATGATAGCTCTAACCCAGTGCAGGTGCAGGCATTTCTGCAAGGGATTTTGCAGCCTCCTCAGCATGGCTGTTTTCTCTCTAGCATGTCTCTTTCAAGACAAGCTCTGGAGACATGTGTGTGGCTTTAGGAGCAGGTTTGGGACTTATGAGTTCATGCAAATCCCGAGTCCCTAGAACAGTTCATTTGCACAGTCTCTCTTGGCTTGACCATTCCTTGCTGCAGTTCTGACATGTGGCTGACTTTGGAGGGAACAGCATGAGAGGAGCCCCAGATGTTCCCAGTGCTGAGCACCACCAGCTCTGGGAGAGGCTTTCCATCTGCCTGGAGGTGAATGATGCCCCAGCCCATGGGGTGGAGAGGACAAGTCAGGGGCTGCCCCATGCCCGGGGTAGTCTGCAGGGCTGTGGTACCTGTAGCCAGTGACAAGGATGCATCCAGACCAAACTGCTTCTGTCTTTCTGCCTGTCACCAGTGGCTTCAGCTGCCTAAGGTGCTCCTTCCCATCAGAAAGCAGCAGATCCACAGGCTCTTGGACTCATTCCCCTCCTGGATTAATGCTGGGGAGCCAACCCAAATCTCATTGTTTTTTTCCATGGTTTCATCACTGATGTGTAATGTAAAAGCCATAAGGTATTTATGTGAATGCTGCCGTGCTTAATGCTCCCTCTGACCAGTGCTGAGGCTGGGGCAGTGTCAGAGGAGTGTGACAGCAGATGTGCCAGCAGCATCTCCCTCCCCACACCCCTTTGTTGTTGTATCCATAACTTTTCTGGTGTTCATCTAATAAATTCAGGGGAAAACTGGCTAGTAATGCTCATCCTGGCTCTTCATGCCTCCCACCATTTCTAGTACAGCATGGGCTGAGTGGCCATCTCCAAAAGCCAGCTGCATCATGCCAGGAGGATAGCAGGGTTGGAGGGGCTGCTGTCAGGGCTGCATGTGAAATTTACAGGCTGTGGGGTCTGCAAAATGCTCTGTGGGGCCCATAAATCCACTTTTGGGCCAAGACCATGCCTAATTCCCTGCCGGCTGCCCTCGTCCTCCCTCCCTGCGCCCTCTCCGCTCCGCCAAAGGGAGCTGACGGTTATTTTCCCCTGCTGCATGTTTCTGGGCTTGCTTCTGTTTACGGAGATGGGAGTTAAAATAACTGATTGATGACTTTGTTCCATCCCAAACACTTTGGGGAAGTTTGCGTGGTTTAGAAGGGAGAGCTGGGAGCTGGGATTTCATTAAGCACTTGGCTCCCGGCACTTCTCCAGCCATGCTCCAGGGGTGGCTAATGTTGTTTTTTAAATCCTGTTTTGCTATCCCAGGAGCCGGAGTGGCGATTTCCATGGTTTGTAGGAGAACTTGGAGATGTGGCAGGTCCCTGAGGTTCCCTCTGAGCTCTGAAACACCAGCAAACCTCGCAGCCACCACAATATTGTTTCACTTAAGCCCTCCTCCACCGCTTCATCAGCACAAAATTGCACTCCAGCTGCCTAAAATCTTTGGAAAAGAGCTAAAAAATTGAATTACTGGAATTTGTTTTCGTTGTGTAGATGAGGATTTACAGGCTATGACTGGGAGAAAAGGAGTGAGTGGACCTTTTTCCCCTCTGGAAGGATTTGCTTGGGAGCTAAAGCTTCTACTGGGGCTCAGTAGGGCTCAACTCCATAAACATCATTTATGGAACAGATACAAAACGCAGCACACAGTGGGGACACCAGGAGAGCCAGGATCCAGGGAAAGACTGATTTTAGCTCTGGAGATCAGGAAGGTTTTTTTCTGCAGTGGTGAAAGAGCCAGGAGTGAGGAGACAGTAAGTGTCTGTGCTGGTTGTGGGGTCTGTTCCACGG